CGTGAAAGCTCAGCCTGGCTGCTGCGTGGTGTGCACCGAGCAGTAGGGAGTGGGCGAGAGGGGCATCTAAGGGCCCTCTAGGAGGCCAGACTCATGCAGGCATGGCATGGGCAGCAGTGAAAAATGTGAGAAGGGACAGGAAGGGGTTGAGACTGAGTCCTGGGTCTGGCTGAGGCACTAGTGAATGTCACAGCCCTCGTGACTAGTGGATGTCACAAAGACCATGCCAGGAGAGGGAAACAATTGAACTTTGGACATGTGGGTGTGCACCTGGAAGACAGCTGTGCTCTGGGCAAGTGGTCACTGGGGCTACATCCTGGGCATCGGAAGAGCAGGGGTGGAAGTTGAGGCTGTGGATGAGCTGGGTGGAAGGAGGAGGGAAACGCAGCCAAGAAGAGCAGAGGAGGAGCACCTGACCAGGGTTCCCCAGGTGAAGGAGCAGGGCTGCAGGAAGTTCCAGGCTCCAGCCCCCCACGCCCTCCCACACCACTCTCAAGCTCAAGCCATTAGTCCCAGATACTCCTTTCTTTTCTGTTGGCAGCCTCCGGAAGTGCAGTTTCTCTGGCCTGGCTTCCCGATCCATCCCTTTTTCTATCGAAAAACCTCTGACACATCCCTGAAAGCCCTGTCCAGGAGCTACTCCTCTGTGAAGCCCTTCCTGAGAACCCCCCAACTCCCCCCAGCCATCTCTGGCATCACATGCTTCTCTCTCGCACACACTGGCTGCATGGCAGGGGTCCAAGCTCTCGGTGGGCAAAGGACTTGCAGCCCTGTCAGCAGCACCAGAGCCCCCACCTGAGGCGGCTTCACGAAGTCAGCCACATCCCACAGCCGGTTTCCAAGCTCCTTGATCTGAGTCACAGAAAMCCCTTTGAGTYTGGTGATGATGGAAACCTGGGKGTCCAGGTCCCSCTCCTGGTAGCCTTTTTTGGTGAGGAGAGCCCACCTGGACAGGAGAAGATGGGCAGTGTGGTGTGTCCCCAGTGTGTAGTGACAGGGGCAGAGCTGGGCCCCACATGCTCAGTTCTCTCCCCATACTCTATAGGCTCCCAGCCCAGTATCGAGGGCCCCACCTCCTCTCTGGCCTCACTTCCCACCCCAGATCCCCTGAATAAGACAGAAGCTCCAGCTACGCACCGGAGAGCCAGTGCCCTCAATCACCTTCACCAGCCAGCACCACCCCCAGCCTCAATAGAGCCAGCTCCCCTGACCCGAGCTACAGCTGGTGGTCTCTCTGGGGGCCTAGTGCTTCAGCTCTCACAGATGTTAAGGACGGTGTCCTGTGCCCCCTGGGTGGGGTTCTGGGGAGGGGCTGGGAAGGAGGCAGGTGGGCACACAGGACAAACTCACAGCTTGTTCTTGTTCTCCCGTCTTGTATCACCTACCTCCCACCCCATCCCAATCTGGCCCCCTCCCCTCCAGCCCCTAAAGAGCCCAACCCTCAACCTCAACCCAGCAGGACCAAGCCTCGCCCCCACCTTTTCCCCTGCCCCTCCAGCCTGGCCAAAGCTCTTCTCTCTTACCCCACCACATAGATTACGATCCCAAGCTGCAGCAGCCTCTGCAGGGCGCCCACCCGCCAGTTCCTGGTCATCACATACTTCTCCGTCTTATAATCCAGAAGCCCCCAGCCTACCGTGGCCCCTGGGGAGCCCATGCTGCCAGCTCCTGCTAGCTGCGGGCACATAAGTCAGCATGGCAGCTGCAGGCACAGCAGAACAGGAGGCAAAGCAGGGCTCGAGCCAGGCCAGGCAGCTGCTGTTAAAGGGACACTTCCACTAGAGCAGGATCCAGCCTCCAACACCCAGCCGTCAGCCCCTAACCCCAGCTGCCCTGCACCTCCCACCTCCCTACATTCCCTTTGCTGGGCCTTGGCACACAGAGAACAGCGGCTCTGTCCCTGTCCTCTGTCCTCTGGCAAGGACAGCTGTCATCAGTGCTGTGAGAGGACGGCCTGAGGGCAGCAGCAGAGGGGCTGGGAGGGTGTTGAGGAAAGCTTCAGGAAGAAGTGACCTCTGAGCTGACAGTTGCAGATTCTGAAGTTCAAAAGCAGACAAAGACGGGGATGGAGGTTCCCAGGGGAGCGAACAGCGTATGCAAAGGCCAGCGCATGTAAGACAACTAAGAGCCACAGACTGAGAGGGGTGACCTGGTTCTGCGAGGTTCGCCAGGCCCTCCCGAAACGCTGTACCCAAGTGCAGTGGGGAAAACACAAGCTCTGGAGTCAGGCGCGTTTCCCAGTCCGTGAAAGTGGGTCGATGCTGGAACCGCTTAGCGAGGCAGGGAAGATAAACGTCGCAAAGCGCCTAACCTCGTCCAGGGTCCTTGCAGCAGGCAGTCATCCGCCAGGGCCGGGAGCCTCTGCGCAGGCCAGCCAGGGTTTCTACTGCAATCAACAACACCGGGTTGCCGGGGCGACGGCCGCGGGGGAGCGCATCGCTATTGGCCATGGTGGACGCCAGTCGATGGACGCCACATTCGATTGGTCAGCGCGGCCTCAGACTCCGCCCAAATCCCCGGGCCGCGCTCTGAGTGAGGCGCCAGGAGGTAGCCGCCTCCGCATCTGAGACTGCGAAAGGGTCTTAACCATGAGGGCTTCCTGCGAGAGATCTGGGGAGGATGAAGAGCAGAAGGAAGAGGCTGCAGCGGCCTGTGGGCATCTTTCAAGGGTCCTTGAGGCGGAGCAGAGTTCCGAGGCCGATTCGGACTCCGACCTGGAGACGGAAGGTGCTAGGGGCAGGGGCCAGGCCCGACTCCTCCCGTTTGGGGGTCTTCTCTCGCAGGAGTGGGGGGAGGCGGGCTGGGGCCAAGGGGGCAGGAGACCCCTGTCCAGCTGGAGACGTACCCCTCTGCGGGGCGCCTCCAGCTCCCTGCCCTCCCTTCAGAGCTCCCAGAAGCATTAGGTTAAAATGCAAAATCCCGCCAGACAGTGCACCAAAGACTGTCTGCCCTGAAATCGGACCAGAGCTGGGTTTTCCCAGTCCACAGGAAAAACTAAGCTAACAGATGTATAGACTTGTCGGGTGCCGTGGCTCACGCCTGTAATCCCAGCACTTTGGGAGACCGAGGCAGGTGGATCATGAGGTTAGGAGTTCAAGACCAGCCTGGCCAACATGGTGAACCCTCATCTCCACTAAAAGTACAAAAATTAGCCGGGCGTGGTGGCGCACGCCTGTAGTCCCAGCTACTCAAGAGGTTGAGGCAGGAAAATCTCTTGAACCCGGGAGACGGAGGTTGCAGTGAGCCAGGGTTGTGCCACTGCACTCCAGCCCGGGTGACAGAGCGAGACTCCGTGTCAACAAACAAACAAACAAACAAATAGATGAATAGAATTTAGAATTATTTCAGTTTTTTCTCCCCTAAAGTGTTTGCAAAACATTGGTGGTCTGCAATCCAGGTTAAAAGACACAGCGTGCAATTTGGCATCAGACAGGCAGAGGCCTGACTCTGGCAGGATTGGGTACTTACTAGCTGTGTGATTCTCGGCACAGGCCAGCCACTGTTTCTACAGCAACCAGCAACATTGGGTTGCCTGGGCTCATATTAATAATAAATATTTATTTATTTATTTATTTGAGTCAGCGTCTTGCTCTGTCACCCAGGCTTCAGTGCAGGATGATAGCTCATGGTAGCCTTGAACTCTGCACTCCAGTGAGTCTTCTGCCTCAGCCTCCTGAGTAGCTGGGACTACAGGGGGCCGCCACGTCAGCTAATTTAAATACTTTTTTGTTTGGCTATTGTGCCCAGGTTGTCCAGCTTTCTTTCATAGCTGTATGACTTTAAGGAAAAGATTTGCGTTGCCTGAGCCTTGATGTCCTCATCTGTCATGGGGGAGGGGGGCAGTGGTCCCAAGGAGCAGAGGAGGCAGTGCTTCTGGAGGGAAAACAGGCCAGGTAGTGACACAGGGCAGGGGGGGAGGCAGGTGGCTATACCCGTGCAGGGGTTCACATTTGTCCCCGTCTCCTACCAGGCACCCATGGGCTTGGAGAACTGGTCAGGGACACCCTCTACCTGAGGTCTTGCCAGGTCCATAGCGTTGTGCCCATCTCCTGCTTTCTGTGCCAAGGGAGCGCCCCAGAGCTGAACCTCCGGCACCGTGGCCTGGGGCCCCAGGTACCACTGGAGGGACACTAGATCCAGGCTTCCAGGGAGAGGCCCCGGGAGACAGCAGCCATGGGAGTGCTCCTGAGTCTGTCCCACACTCCCCAGCTTCTGCCTGTGCCAGAAATGCCCCATCCCCCACATCTGGGAGACAGATGGGATTGAGGCTGTGACAGGTGGCATTAAGGGTGGGGGAGCCTGCAGGCCCCTAACCTGCTGGGGACTCAGGGAGAGCTAGGGGTGGGGAGGAGACCTGGGCGGAGCCTAAAAGGAGATGCAAGTGTTCCTTAGGCAGGTGGGAAGGGGAGGGATGCAGAATGAGCTGAGCCCTGGAGCATGAGCCAGGATAGTGGCCAGTGTGTTTCCTCTGTCTGTCCCAGGGTGCCCGTGCTCTGGCTTCCTCATTGAGCTCCAGTTTATCGGTCAAGCGGCTGGACCTTAGAGACAATGGGCTCTGTGGGGCAGGTGCAGAGGCCCTGGCAGGTGCCCTGAGCAAAAGCAGCAGCATCCATGGTAGGTGCTGGGCCTGGGGCAGGTGGGCAAGCGTGAGTGCTCCCTTTCCTCAGGGATGAGCCTCTACCCCTGAAAGCTGGGCCGTGTCACCTGGGGCCTGCTGGTGTTGCTGGTGGATAGAGGAGGGGGTCTCATCACAGGAGGGGATATGTAGGGTGGAGCTAGACGCTCTGCTGTGCAGACAATGCTGGATACAAGTCCCTTCCTCACCCGCCCAACCCCATTACTCCCCTCCCTTGCTGGCCAGCATCCCCTCTTCACCAAGCACATGGTAGACTCTCAGTACCTGAATCCACACAGGGATTGGGGGTTGGGCATTGTAAGAAGCAGGTAGGTAATGTGGGAGTTTGGTGGGGGTGGATCCAAAATGCCAGCTCTGCCACTAAAAAGCTGGATACCTGGGCGAGCAGCTTAACCTCTCTGAGCTCCAGCTTTCCAATCTGTGAAATGCCCCCCACGGTCCCTCATAGGCTTGGAGCTGTGGTGAGCATGAAGTGAACTGCACTCCTGAAGTGGTCAGCAGTGTATGACCTATGTAAGTGCTCCATGCACGGCCACCTGGGCTATTACTACCCATGCTGGCAGTGGGGCAGTGAGGGCTTTTGAAGTGGCTGGTGATACCACTGCCAGACACAGTCATCAATGTGATGGCTGCCCCTTCCCCATGGCCGTCTCTACAGTACCAGGAGGTAGGCGGTTTTAACCGCTTGACACAGAAGCTCATGCGCACACACGGAGGGGGAGGTCAGGGGCCAGAAGGGACCCAGCCATTGGGAGCCGCAGCCACCATGCAACGCTAGGACAGCTCTCCTGTAAGGCCCCTTCCTCTGCCTCAGACCTGGAGGTTTAAGGGACAGCAGAAGAGGTAGGAGGGGGGTGCCCAGCTTTGTGTCCCACTGATAAAGGAGCGGTTTCGTCCCCCAGATTTGGACCTGTCGGAGAACCAGCTGGGAGTGGCAGGAGCGCAGGCCCTCTGTGCCGCCCTGACTGTGAACCGGGCCGTGCAGAAGATGCAACTGTCAGGGAATGGCCTGGAGGAGCAGGCGGCCCAGCACCTTGCTGAACTCCTGCTGGCTCACACAGACCTGAAGTCCCTGGACCTGAGCTATAACCAGCTGAATGACCAAGCAGGTAATACCTGCCCAGGGCACCATGGGTCATGAAAGCTCAGCTTCCTGGGGCAGGGGTGGGTGGGGCTTGGCAGGACCGCACTGCACATCGCCAGGGAGCATGTGCTCTGACTCCTGCTCCCCACACAGCCACCTTGGCCTACTCCCCTTCCACTCCAGCCACACGGAACTCTTCATTCCTTCCACAAATACCTCATTGCCCGCTGCTGTATGTGCTGGGCACTGACTTACCCACTGGGGATCCACCTTGAACAAAACCAAGTTCCTGACCTCAAGGAGCACATGCTAACAACAACATTCTCAGTCGTTATTGGTGCTACAAAATAAATACCGCATGCTTCTAGAGAAGAACAGGGACCCCCTGCTTTAAAGAGGTGGCTGGGGAGGCCTCTGTGAGGTGACATTTAAGCTGAAATGTGCAGAGTGGGAAAGAGACAGCCATGGCAAGATCAGAGGGAGAGCATTTCATGCAGAGGAATAGTGAGCATGTGGGCCTGTTTCCCAGACTGGCAGACAGCAGTGTGACTAGGCTAGGGAGTCAGGAAAGCATGGCCAGGCTGCGGGGTGGAGAGGGCAGAGGGGTCTGCAGGGCTGTAGGTCATGGCAAAAAGGGTGAAGATTTTATTCCAAGTGAGGTAGCAGACATGGCTGGAATTCCTTGGTCTCATCACCCTCTCTCGTACCCCTAAGCATTTGCAGGGGCTATCGGCTTTGCCAGGAATTTGCACTTCTACCTGCCTCTCCTCAAGGGGTCCAATAATAGTAACGACCACCTGGGACCCTGGGTTAGGCATGCAGATGCTCACCCTGGAACCTGCTGAACCAAACTCTTAGGGGAATGCTGGTGAATCTGCATTTTAATGGATGCCCCAGGAGAATTGTCTTTCCTGCAACATTTCAGAAGCACTGCTCTATCTCAAGCAGTTTAGAGCAAGTGGGGTGACATGAGCCTTGGCCTGTGAGAATTGGCCATGGCATGTAACTTCCAGAGAACCAGTTTGCCTCCCAAGAAAATTATTGCCAGAAGTCAGTGAAATGAAAAGTGAGGCTTGGTAGGGCACTGTGGCTAGCTGTAATCCCAGCAACACTCTGGAGGCTGAGGGGGGAGGATTGCTTGAGGTCAGTAGTTTGAAACCAAACTGGGCAACACAGTGAGACCCAGTGGTGACAAAAGATAATTTAAAAATTAGCTCCAAGTGGTGGCATGTGCCTGTAGTCTCAGGTGGCCGAGGTGAAAGAATCGCTTGAGCCCAAGACATCAAGACTGCAGTGAGCCATGATTGCTCCACTGCACTCCGGGTTGGGAAACGGTGAGACAACAAAAAACATGAACTTTCTTCCCTCTTTAGAGCCTGCTTCCCTGTTATGACGTTAAAAGCAGGTATTGTGAGTGCAGCTGGGCTCTGTTTCTTAGGCAGGTGCTTTCTTGTGTGATAACTGTTTGCTTTGGTATTCCTGTGAGGTTGTGGGATGACTGCTGGAAGGCTCTGCTTGGCTATGCTGCTCCACCTTCATCTCCAGGTCTCCGTATTTTGCCCAGGCTGGTCTTGAACTCCTGGCCTCAAGCAATCCTCCTGCCTCAGCCTCCTGAGTTGCTGGGACCACAGGCACATACCACTGCCTGGCTTCCATCTTCCCTTCTCTACCACCCCCATCTCTTCTCTACCACAACTGTGCCAGCCCTGTCACCTCTTGCCTGGCCTATGGCACCAGCCTTCCACCTGGTCCCGCAGCCTCTTGCCTCTGCCCCCACCCAGCCCAGTCTATCCTGGACACCTGCCACTTGCTGAAATGCTAATCTAGCCTCATCACTTCCTAAGGCCCTCCCTGACTCCTTGCCACTTGTATGCGTTGCCTAAGCCCCTTACCTTGGCACTCAAGGCCTCTCCGCATCTCTCAAGTGCCCGTTACTCTCGCCTCACCTCACTGGCTTCTCCCTTCCCGGCCCCAGCTCCAGGCCTGCGTGCATTTCCACAGGTGCCTCTGCCGTTTGCACTTCCCCATGCCTCCTCTCCACTGTGTGTGCACAGACGCCCGTGGGGAATTCCTCAGTCCCGGGTTATCTCCTCTGTCCTCTTTCCTGACTACCCCCAAAACAGGTTAGCCACCACTCTGTTCCCATGCCTCCCCCTTTGCAGTCCACGTGAATGGCTCACATCCCATTCATTTGGATGTGTATCTCCCCATGAAATGTGAGTTCCTGAAGGGCATGGCAGGCCATGTTGGTTTCATGTCTGTGACCCTCCTGCCCAGCAGAGGCTCGGCACACAGTGGGCATCAGTGTGATATTTTGAAGGAGTGAAGAGAGCGAGTCAGAAGGTATCCCTTGGTTTTTCTGAAGGGGAGACACTCGGACCAGCCCTGGCAGAAAACACAGGACTCACCGAGCTTAACGTGAGCTGGAATCACCTCCGAGGCCCAGGAGCTGTGGCATTTGCCAGGGGACTGGAGGTAAGGAGCCCCCACCCAGTCAGCCCTGCAGCCTGTCTGCTGGGGCCGGTCTCCCAGGGACCAGCTCTCTGTCTCTGCAGCTCTTTGGAAATGACCTTTGGATCTTCTAAGCACAGCTTAAAGATTGTTTCTTTAGGTGATTTTAATTTTCCTGGCTTCACTTAGTTACTAAAATACGCTGTGCTCACTGTCACATCATTTCCTGAAGGGTCACTGTTGAATGTCTTGCACCTTCCCCAGCTGGGAAGGGACATCCATGCGGTCCGGTGACACACACTCACTGTTGGGCTTACGCAGGTGCTTTCCTCAGATGATGCCTTGCACCTGTGGATGCCAGCACAGCCTCTCAAACCTCTACCTGCTCCCTTGCATGTTGTGGTTCATAGGGCTCGGGAATGGGTGGCTCAAGCTGATGCTAGGGTGGCACAAGGTACCTGCAATGTCCCCAGTGCCAGATGCCCTGTGGAGTCCTCCTCAGGCCATGGCAGTTGCTGTCTTGCCCTGATACCGGGGCTGACCTTGGGGTCCCGCCCCCCAACGTGGCATGTCACACTGTCTTGCCAGAGCACCCACCCTTTTCCCCATCACAGTACCCTGGGCGGGTTTCATCTGACAGCTGTTCACTGGGGCTTGGGATCCCTGCCCTCCAGAGCCATTAAGTGGGTGTGGAGTCTGATCATGTTTCTGGGGCCTGCTGCTGCTCTGCATACTCCCCTCCCAGTCTCTCTGAGGGCCATTCACATCTACACCGGCCCTTTCCTATTGTGTTCTGGGCCATTGGGCTCTGATGGCCACCATCAGCCAAGCTGCAGCCACCGGAGACGTGGATGGCACTGTCCTGACCCTTCCTTGAAGCCTCTGCCCTTCTACCCTTTGTCCCTGATTTTTGCACCTCAGGGCTCCTGGTCTCTGAGGCTGTGGCACCGTGGTTTGCTCCACGGTCAGACAGGGTCCCTTGACTTCTCTCTTTGGTGTTCCAGGCAAATATCTTCCTTAAAGTTCTAGACATCTCATACAATGGCTTTGGGGATCCTGGAGCCTCTGCAGTGGGTGAGGCTCTCAAGACCAACAACGTGTTGGAGGAACTCAACATGAGGTGAGGATCCCCAAGGGGCCACCCCAGGAATCACGCGCTCCATGATCTTGCTGCTGAACCATGCAGTGGCGTGATCTCGGCTCACTGCACCCTTCACCTCCAGGGTTCAAGCAGTTCTCTACCTCAGCCTCCCAAGTAGCTGGGATTATAGGTGCCTGCCACCACGCCCGGCTAATTTTTTGCATTTTTAGTATAGACGGGATTTCACCGTCTTGGCCAGGCTGGTCTTGAACTCCTGACCTTGTGATCCACCTGCCTTGCCTCTTAAAGTGCTGGGATTACAGGTGTGAGCCACTGCGCCCTGCTCTCTGTCCTCCTTATCACTGGAGTTTATTATTTGTTTGTTTGTTTGTTTAAAACAGAGTCTTGCTTTGTTGCCCAGGCTGGAGTGCAGTGATGAGATCATGGCTCACTGTACCCTTGACCTCCCAGGCTCAAACAATCCTGCCACCTCGTCCTCCCAAGCAGCTGGGACCACAGGAGTATGTCACAAAGCCTGGCTAGTTTTTTATTTTTTGTAGAGACAGTCTCCTGCTGGCCTCGAACTCTTGGGCTCAAGCAGTCTTCCCACCTCAGCCTCTGAAAGTGCTGAAATTACAGTCATGGGGAGTTCATCATTGTTACATAGTGACCTGTGATTCCTACGCACAGGCAGATGGCTGCAAATTCCACACGGTGTATAAAGCATCTTCGGCAGAGCCTGGTGCATGGCGGGTGTTCCAATGAAGCTTTTCTCCCTTGTAGAAGAGGAGCTAAGGCCAGTTCTGTGGCTCAAAACCGAAATCCCAGCACTTCCAAAGGCTGTGGTGGGAGGATCCATTGAGGACAGGATTTTGAGACCAGGCTAGGCAACATAGCGTGACTCCATCTCTACACAAAATGTAAAAATTGTCCATTTCTGGTGGCATGCACCTAACATTCCTAGTACTTGGGAGGTAGAGGCGAGAGGATTGCTTGATCCTAGGAGTCTGGGGTTCAGGCTGCAGTGAGCTGTCATCATGCCACTGCACTGCATCCTGAGTGACAGAGCGAGAAAAATGAGCCTAGTCTGGATGGGGCGAGGCAGGATCCTGATAGGTGGGCCCCGGTGCCTGTTTTGCTCAGCACATGGCTACTGGACCATGCCCTGTGTGAGGGGCTCGTCCAGGCCAGGTGGAGTCCCAGCCTAGGGGGGTGGCACAAGCCCAGAGGGAAGAAAAGAGGTGGATGCCAGAGAGGTCATGGGCCAGAGGCCAAGGAGGTCATGGGCTGCTGTGGCTGAGACCCTCCCCGGGGCAGCCCCCCTGTGGGCAAGGAGGCCTCTCTCAATCCTGTTCAAGTTTCCTCCCATGGGAGGAGCTAAGACTATGGGCAGCCACAGGGGCTGAAACTGGAGGTACCAGCTGGAACTGGGGTCTGAGAAGTGGAAGAGAAACGGGACTGGCTCTGGAGACAAAGCAGCCCAGGGCGGTGCTGAGGCCTGGAGTTTGGGAACAGCAGGAGGTAGAGAGGCCTTGGACAGAAGCTAGGTGATTTTTTGAAATAGACATTGTCATGGTGATAGGCATGAGGTGCCAGCTGGGGCAGAGCACATGGGAGCCCCTGCAGAGCTCAGAGGGCCAGGGCGCGGCAGCTGGTGTCCATTAGGACAGGGACGCTGTAGGCGTGTTTGCTGCATGATCCCTCTGAACGGTGTCATCTCCACCTTTTACACGTTGACCTGCCCAGCGTTCCTGGGGTGTGAGTAGAGGGCTGGAATGAGAGACCCAACTTGGTGGCTGCAGTGGCAGCTCCAGTGGGCACCCAGGGCAGTGGGCTCTGCACAGCTGCTAGGAAGCTTGCACAACGCAGGTGTCTGTTGTCTTTGCTGCAGCAACAACCGCATCTCTGTGATGGGAGCCCTGAGCCTGGGCCTGGGCCTCCGGGCCAACCAGACGCTGAGGATTCTGGTAGTGAGTGCTAGCCTGATGGCCGAGACCCCAGCATAGACCTGCCCTGTACCAACCCACACAGATCCCTGAGTCATGGCCCCCACCCAGGGGCAGCCAGCAGGTGCACACAGGCTCCCTCCCTTGCCACTCACCCTGCATCTGAGGCCTGGCCCTCCTCCTCTCCCCTTCCTTCCCTCCCAGCCTCTCCCCTACACCTTCTTGCTGCCCTTCCCTCTGCGGGCTGGGGTGCTGCTCTGCTGAAGGTGGCTGGGCACCCCTTGTGTCTCCCTCATCTTCTTCCCTGCCTTTCCCTGGCCTTGCTGGGACCCTGGCCCCACCCAGGTGTTCTGTTGGCYACTGYTCAGGCTGAACTGAGGCCTGGTWCSCCCAGCTGGGGTTCCTTCCCCCRGGTTTGCAGATGGGGAGGGAGTGCTGAGCAGGACAGGGAGCAGAAGATAAGACAGGGAAGGGAGCCAGGCGAGGYGGGAGCAGGTCTCCAGGGGACCACTGTGCCCACATCAGGTAAGTGCTAAGGGACAGTATCGCCAGCTGGGTGCAGACATCCAGCTCTGCCATCCCTCAGCTCCCCACCCCAGCCTTCCCTGGGCTTCTCCCATAGCTCTCCTCCCCTTCTCCCTGCCCCACAGGAACCCGGACCTCTCTGAAGCATAGACCTGTGTTTCCAGCTGCCTGGTAGACATTCCTCTAAATGTTCCAAAGTCACATGGGAATGAGTCCAACCTGAATGTATCACCCCCCTCTAAGGGCTGCCTCCTGGTTGAGGGGGACCCTTTTCCCCCCAAGTCACTAGCTGGGGCCCAGAGCTTGCCCTCCCCTCCCTTTCCCACACCCTCACTCCCATCTGCTGCAGGAGCTCACCCTGCTGGCTCCTCCCTCTTCTCACTTACCCTCTCAGCTTCTGTGAACTTGGAGGATTCCTGGCTGCAGTCCTTTCTTCCCACCTGCTACCCAGTGACCTTTCTAAACCAGAAACAAGCCCTGCCTTAAAACTGTTGGAGTTTTAACCCCTCTGGATAAACTCAAACTTTGAGTGCATCACCCACAGTATGTCATGGGGGATCTGGGCTCTGCCAGCTCCTCTCTTCCCAAATTCAGTGCTCTCACCCCAAGCTTGGAGTGTGCACACACACACACACACACACACACACACACAGAGTACTGTTTTTCACTCCATCCTTTGCTCCTCTGCTGTCCTTGCTGAAGTGTCCAGTTCCACCCACCTCACTTGGGGAGCTCAGCTCAGGGATTTCCTCCCCTCCCAGCCTTTCCCTCCCAGGGGAGCTGGAGCACACCCGCTCACTGTGCTGATCACACCACATTTCATGATGCTTCCTTTCCCTCCTATCTCCCCAGCAGGCAAGCTCTTGAAGGTATGGTGTCTTGTGTGTCTGTATCTGTCAGCAGCCTCTCCCTTCTTCTGCTCTCCCCCGGCCCAGCAGCCTCACCAGGGCATTCATTCTGTCTGACGGAGACACCTTCTGAGCTGAAAGAGTAGGGCCAAAGTAGCTGTGTCCTCAGAGATGAGGAGCCCTTCCTTCCCTTTCACGTTGCTCTCCAGCTTACCCGGATTCGGCTTCTCATAGCTTTGTGTGTATGTTTCTCAGGTGTCCAGGAATTTCATGCTATGTGAAGGCTGCTTTGGTCTCCTCAATTCTGTCCTGGACAATCAGCCTCTACACTGGAACTGCTGGATTTCTCTGTAAAAGCATTTTATCAACCTCATTTCTGATCCTCTCAATAGCCCTGTGAGGTACTGTAATCTCTATTTTTTTTTTCTTTTTTTGAGACGGAGTCTCACTCTTCGTTTAGGCTGGAGTGCAATGGCCCGATCTCAGCAACCTCCATCTCCCAGGTTCAAGCGATTCTCCTGCTTGAGTAGCTCCTGAGTAGCTGAAATTACAGGTGCCTGCCAGTACGCCCAGATAATTTTCACATTTTTAGTAGAAACAAGGTTTCTCCATGTCAGTCAGGCTGGTCTCAAACTCCCGACCTCAGGTGATCCACCCACCGTGGCCTCCCAAAGTGCTAGGATTACAGGCGTGAGCCACCACGCCCGGCAGGGTCTCACTCTTTCACCCAGCTGCAGTGCAGTGGTGTGATCATAGCTCAGTGCAGTCTCAAATGCCTTGGCTTGAGTGCTCCTCCCACCTAAGCTCCTGAAGTAGCTGGAAGTACAGGTACTGGTCACCATACCTGGCTATGTTTTTTTTTTTAGAGATGGGGTCTTACTACGTTGCTTAGGCTGCTTTCAAACTTCTGGACTCAAGTGGTCTTCCTGCCATGGTCTCTCATGTCTCAGGTCAATTTTTTTCTTTTTTAATATAGGAAAAGGGCCAGGTGTGGTGGCTCACACCTGTAATCTCAACACAATGGGAGGCTGAGGTGGGAGGATCACTTGAGCTTAGGAAGCGGAGGTTGCAGTGAGCCAAGATTGTACCAGTGCACTCCAGACTGGATGAATCAGACCCTTTCTCACACACACACAAAAAAAAATTGGACAAGGCCCAGGTGAGTGAGGAGTTGAGTGCTTGAGTCCAGGAGTTCAGGATCAGTCAGGTTAACATGGTGAAACCCCATCTCTACACAAAATACAAAAAAAATTAGCCAGGTGTGATGGCATGCACATATAGTTCCCACTACTTGTGAAGCTGAGATGGGAGGATCACCTGAGCCTGGGAGGTAGATGTTGCAGTCAGCTATGATCACGCCTCTGCACTCCAGCCTGGGTGACAGAGCAAGACCCTGTCTTAGAAAATTAAAACATGGGTTTTTCATTGTAAAAATACTTACATGGTCCAGCTACAGTGTCTCACACCTGTAATCCCAGCACTTTGTAACCCTATTGGGTGGATGGCTTGAGCCCAGGACTTTGAGACCAACCTGGGCAACATGACAAAACCCTGTCTCTACAAAAAATAAAAAATTAGCTGGGCATGGTGGCACATTTCCTGTAGTCCCAGCTATTCGGGAGGCGGAGATAGATTGCTTAAGCCTCGAGGTTGAGGCTGCAGTGGGCCAAGATGGCACCCTGTACTTCACTCTAACCCTATCCCTCTTCGCTCTAACCCTAGGGTGACAGAGCAAGTCCCTGTCTCCAAAAAAAATGCTGAGTGTGGTTGGTGGCTCATGCCTATAATCCCAGCATTTTGAGAGGCCAAGGTGGGTGGATCACCTGAGGTCAGGAGTTCAAGACCAGCCTGGCCAACATAGTGAAACCCTGTCTCTACTAAAAATACAAAAACTAGCCAGGTGTGGTGTCAGGTGCCTGTAATTCCAGCTACTCGGGAGGCTGAGGCAAGAGAATCGCTTGAACCTGGGTGGTGGAGGTTGCGGCCTAGAACGGGTGTAGAACCAATTCTTAAAACAGTGTTTGAACTGGTCCACAGCTCTAATTTTTCATGAGCTACCATTTCTGAGGCCAATATAAACTTCGTTCCATGTTCCCCATCTCCAACAGGTGGGCATTAACTACCAGCCACCCACAGTGGTCCCTGGGAGAGATCTGGCTAACATGCAGCAGGCCGTGTGAATGCTGAGCAACACTGTGGCCATCACGGAGGCCTGGGACTGCCTGGACCATCAGCTCAGCCATGCACACCTTTGCAGACTGAGATGTTGGGGAGGGCATGGCAGAAGGCAGAAGGGGAGTTCTTTGAGGCCAGCGAGGATCTCGCAGCTCTGGATAAGGATTATGAAGAGGTGGGCGTGGATTCCATAGAAGCTGAGGCTGAAGAAGGCAAACAGTGAGGGGAGGGTGCGGCAGGCAACCATCCCTTTGTATTCCCCACCATAACCTTAGGAAAGGTAATTACCTATTAAAATTTCTGTATTGCGATATTGTTTTTCTCCTGTGTTGTACTTTGACAGATTCCTTCTCCAGATAACCTTCTTTTTCCAAGTGCATTTCTATGGGAAAAATTAAAGATCTGTTTTCTTACAGAAATTATTAAGCATGTCAGTATGTTTAGTAATTGCTTTACTCCCCTAATGGAGGCTTCAAACCACTTGACTGAGGGAATTAGGAAAAAATGCTTAATTTTACCTTTTTTTCTTTTGAGACGGAGTCTCACTCTGTCGCCCAGGCTGAAGTGCAGTGGCGTGATCTAGGCTCACTGCAGCCTCTGCCGTCCGGGTTCACGTGATTCTCCTGCCTCAGCCTCCGGAGTGGCTGGAACTACAGGCGCATGCCGCCACACCCGATTATTGCTATTATTATTATTATTATTATTATTGTATTTTTAGCAGAGACGGGGTTTCACCATGTTAGCCAGGATGGTCTCGATCTGACCTCGTGATGCACCCGCCTCAGTCTCCCAAAACGCTGGGATTAACAAGCGTGAGGCACAGCGCCTGGCCTATTATTTTACATTTAAACCTTCGGAAGTCCTTAAACGGAGTGGCTATTTTCACTGAGTCTTAGGGGAAGAGGTGAGGGCTCAGGTTAGGAGCCCGCCAGGTCATGTGTCCGAGGACTCCGCAGGCTGAGCACAGTAGCTCCCGACGCTGCCTTTCCACCCGCAACCTCAGCTTCTTCCGGACTCTGTCACGCCCCGAAGGTGGCTACAATGAAGCCTCCTGCCCGGCGCACGTCCCCAGTGTAGTCAGGGGCATTCCTCGCCCTCCCTCAAGTCCCCCGGTACTCGGCAGTGAGTGCAGGCTCTGGTTTCTGTCGGGTTCTCTTGGGCAAGCGTCCCAGGCCCGGTTTTCTTTCTTCCGTCAAGTCTTCCCGAGGCGATCTGTCGCCCCCGCGGCTTTCGAGGCTCCCAGGTCACTGCCGCCTTCCGCTCCCGGGCCGACCCGTACACTGGGGCTGCTCCATTGTGCCCGGGTGTTTACAGAGAAGAGTGAGCCCTGAACGTACGAAAGAGAAGCCCACGTGTGTGACCGCACTGGTAGTCTGGGAACGGAGACGACGCAGATGCGACTAGAACTCGCACGCTCGCACCGCCTCCGAATCCAACTCACGAGGACTTCGCCCCGCCCCGCCCTACGGGCAGAGCACCGCCGACTTTCCAGTCTCTATGGTACCAACTTCCGGCGCGCGCCACCCCTCGCGAGACTTCGGCGGCGCAGCAATGGCCAGATCGTGAGTGCCGCTGACGGGAGTCTAAAGAACCGGCCGGGACGGGGTCGGGCGAGAACAGGCCGGGAGCCGGGGGAGACCTGACGGGTCAGACCTACCCCCTTCGGGGAGGAGCGGCGGCTGAAGGCACGAGGCTCCTCTGGATCCCCAGACAGCCGCTCACGACTTAACTCCCGCCTCTTCCCTAGATGCCGCGTCACTGCTCCGCCGCCGGCTGCTGCACACGGGACACGCGCGAGACGCGCAGCCGCGGCATCTCCTTCCACAGGTCGGCGCGCGTGCGCGGGCTGACGTGCGCATGCGCTGGTTGCTGCTCGCCTCGTTGGGCCGCAACTGCGTAGACGCTTCGCGCCTTTCTCGGGTCCTGAGGGGCCTTGAACCTGTGGGTGGGAGGTGAAGTGGGATGGTCCCGGCGGGACCAAGTGCTGTCGGGAAGGGGAGAACGGGAAGTCTAGCCTTGGACCTGCCCCGCTCTGACGCTGAGCAAACTGCTTTTCTTCTCTAGGCCTCCATTGCTTCGTCTGTGCCCGGGCGGGTGGTGCTTGCCCGGCGGGGTCGCAGGGAGGTCTCGTGGCGGCGCGTGTTGGGTCTGCTTTTCCCCAGCGGGGAGCTTGGGCAGCATGAGCCCCGGGCTGCGGACAGTCTACTGCTCACGGGTTTGTGGCTCCACAGACTTCCCAAGAAGGACAACCCGAGGCGAGGCTTGTGGCTGGCCAACTGCCAGCGGCTGGACCCCAGCGGCCAGGGCCTGTGGGACCCAGCATCCGAGTACATCTACTTCTGCTCCAAACACTTTGAGGAGAACTGCTTTGAGCTGGTGGGAATCAGGTGGGCCTCCCTGCCAGCCAACATTGGGGTAGGATGTGGGGCTTCAGGCGGATTGGGACAGCTGCAGGTCCTGGAAGTCCCTTGAGCAGCCTGCCAGGCAGGCCGACCTGCTTCCAAGGTTCCCAGCTCTGTACAATGAAACCCACCCCCAGGATCACTGCCAGTGACGCAAGGGAAAAACATGAGCCTTTCCAGAGAGTGTTCTTCAGAGCCCCAGTCCTGCCAGCGAGTCCACAAATGAAAGAATTCCTTTTGGCAGGTCAGCCCAGCTCTGCTTGTGCAGGCTTTCCACACACCTCGACTTTGAGGAGTACTGCAGCGAAGCGATTGGTGTAACTCTAACTTGGCATCCCCGAGACTTACTGTTTGCACGATGCTTTCCAGCCTCCCATGGCGCTAGTGCTGGGGAACCTGTTCCGGGGTGCTGGGGGCAGATTGGCTTGGGGAGGCAGCACTTGCTCTCCAGCTCATCTGGGCTGCTTTTCCCCACAGCGGGTATCACAGGCTAAAGGAAGGAGCAGTCCCCACCATATTTGAGTCTTTCTCCAAGTTGCGCCGGACATCCAAGAGCAAGGGGCACAGTTATCCATCTGGTCCCCCTGAAGTCACCCGGCTCAGGCGATGCAGGAAGCGGTATGTGGTACTGGTGGGGAAAGCCCCACTCCCACCTCTAGACTGAGGGACTGGGCTCTGGGTCATCTGCCAGCAGTCTAGCCCGACAGGGTTCTTGCTGCACAGAACCTGTGGATCAGGTTTGGGTGCTGGGGGGTTAAGGGGGCTGGTGGAGTGGGGTCTGGCAGGCCCTCAGCCTAGCCCATTAGTCTCTCTCTTCCCCTTATCAGCTGCTCCGAGGGCCGAGGGCCCACAACTCCATTTTCTCCACCTCCACCTGCTGATGTCACCTGCTTTCCTGTGGAAGAGGCCTCAGCACCTGCCACTTTGCCAGCCTCCCCAGCTGGGAGGCTGGAGCCTGGCCTCAGCAGCCCCTTTTCAGACCTTCTGGGCCCCCTGGGTGCCCAGGCAGATGAAGCAGGCTGCAGTGCCCAGCCTTCACCAGAGCCACAGCCCTCCCCGCTCGAGCCACGGCCAGTCTCCCCCTCAGCCTACATGCTCCGCCTGCCGCCACCCGCCGGAGCCTACATCCAGAATGAACACAGCTACCAGGTGGGCAGCGCCTTGCTCTGGAAGCGGCGAGCTGAGGCAGCTCTTGATGCCCTCGACAAGGCCCAGCGCCAGCTGCAGGCCTGCAAGCGGCGGGAGCAGCGGCTGCGGTTGAGACTGACCAAGCTGCAGCAGGAGCGGGCACGGGAGAAGCGGGCACAGGCAGATGCCCGCCAGACTCTGAAGGAGCATGTGCAGGACTTTGCAATGCAGCTGAGCAACAGCATGGCCTGAGGGAGGGGCCGCTGGACTGACCGAGGGGCTGCCCAGCAAGGCTGCAGCCTCCTTCTCCCTCAGAATCCACCATACCCACAAGGTGCCATAATAAAGTGGATTCTAGAAGGAGGCCCTGCTGTCTGGCTCAGCTGGGGGCTGAAGCCCCTCTGGGTACTAAGCTTGCTGCCCCCAGACAGGGGCTGCAGCTCCCAGAGGGCTTAGTCCAAGCCCTTCACCAGGGAGAGCAGAGAGCCTGGCTTTCACCCCTCAGAGCTACTGGTAAACCAGTAGCAGCCAGCCAGTACAGCTCCATGCCCCACAGGGTTTTCTGAAGGGGCAGGATGTTGTGAGTAGGGGCCAGGAAGGCAGTTCAAGGCACCCTTTCCACGGGATCTGAAACAGCCCCAACTTAAGCCAGCCAGCCCCTTTGAGAACACTCCTAAAACCCGGTCCGGATTCAGTTCTCAAACAGGTGCATGACAGGCTTCTGTCCACAGGCCTCATCTGCCTGGTGGGTAAGCAGGGCAACCCTCTCGCTGCTCCCTTCACTGCTGTCTCTATTTGAAAAACGGACAATGACAATGATCAGCCTCCTGGGGCATGCCAGCAAGTAGTGAAGCCCCAACAAGTGACATTTCTAGTCCCTGGAAGTCTGGGAAGAGGTGGCTAGAACTTGCAGACAAGCACTTGGGTCCTGGCCTCAGTATCCTTTTCCTTCAACTCCCAGAAACCTGGAAGGCCTTGCCACAGCTGAGATTCTCAAACAGCTCCGTGCGTGGGATGATTCTCACTGTGAGTTTGGCCTTTCCCTGCCAAAGAGCACAACTGAATTCATTTTAGTCCCAGAAACTGCCACAAAAATTTTGTAAAATTTGCTTTTTAGGACCCTTGGCATGTAATTTCATTTATTCACATCATGTAGAAAAGACAATTGAGGGTTCAGTGATGGGGTCAGCATGGAGCAGGGTTTGCAGACTAGTTCAAGGAGGCTTCTGGGCTGGCCCCTCCAGGAGGGGTTTGGAGGAGGCTGCCCTGTGGGAGTGGTAAGAGCCACATCTTGTGGAAACTGGGTAGGTGGTTCTGTGGCCCCACTGTGTGACTCACATCTGGCCCACTTGGCTGGCTGCCCTAGCCTGCACTCCACTTCCATGTGTTGACATACCCCAGCCATAGCCCTGGGCATCTCTGTCCTCACCAGAGGGCCTTTTGGCTCAGCCTCTGCCCCTGCTCCTGCCATCCCTTGTTTGCCAGCTCATCTTGCACCAGGCCACTTCCTAGCCTGCAGGCTGCCTATGGATTTCTCCTGTTAGCTAAGCAACTTGGCACTCAGGGCCCCCCATCCACGTGCACACAGGCAGAGGAGGAAAATGAACTCTAAAGCCAAAAAAGAGCAGGTCATTTCCCCAAGGTGAGCTGTGGCTTCATGGCAGCCATGACAAAATAAGGAGTCCTGGAATCCTCTTCCCAGTAAGGGAATACTGGTTCCCCAGCATCAGAGTGGACTCATGTGGCCCTCACTAGGGCAAGAGGGCAGCCCACCTTCCACAGCAGCCAAGAGCACAGTATAGGGGCAAGAGGGCAGGAGCCCACTCCAGGATTCCCCAGGGAGGGGCCAGCCTGGAGGCCTCCACAGCTCCTCTCCCCATTGTGACTGGGTCACCCCAGGTTGGGGAAGGAGTTGACAGCATGGCTAGAGACAGGTAAGACCAACTAACCTACGTCTGGGGGTCTGCCAAGCCATGGGCCACACAACCAGTCCTTGGCTGCAGGAGGGCTGAGGGGCTGAGGCCAGCAATGGTGGCCAGGCCAGCAAGGTGTATATGGTAGGTAGCACTGCTGTGGCTTTAATGAAGGCTTATCTATGACAGAATACTCAGTGAGGGACACGGGGGACTTTGCTGGCTTCTTCCCGGCCGAGCCCTGAGCCCTGACATGCACACAGGTGGGCTGGGATCCTTCAACCCCTATGAAAATCAGGCCCAGCCCAGCCCAGCCAACCTGGGAGCTGACCTCAGGGCCCTTCACTCCAGGATTCACCTCAAGTCATGTGAGACCCACATGCGGTCCCCACTCAAGTTCCGGTGGGAGGAGCCCCTTACATGGATCTCAGTGAGGGTGGGCAGGGCAGGAGTAGCCCAGACAGATTCCCTGGTGCAGGGGCAATTCTGCCAAGCCTCCTTCCGCATGTTGGAGGGGCCTTGGTGACAGGCCCCAGTGCCTGGGTCCACAACATGCCCAAGCTTCGGACGCCAGGCCGAGCTCCACAGGGTGGGAAGCCCATCTCTTCCCCACTTCTGGTTGGTGTCCCCATCACTGAGCCGTGACCTTGCACCCACATGACACCAGGAGAGGGTGCCAACAGGGGAGGAGGTCTGCTTCATCATCCGCTCCCTGTGGGACCTGTGTCCTCAGTGAATTGAGGCATCTGGAGCCACACATCCCCTCAGCTCTCTTTGGAGGCTCTGGGCACCCTGACCCTTGGCCTGGCAGGTGCACCCACTCTGCCATAGGCATGTGTGTGGCTAGTACAGTCTTCTCAGTGGGCAGGGCAGGCAGGCATGGCAATTCTTCACGCTGGGTAGGCGCCACAGGGTCTCAGATGTCGGCGCCCAGCTCTGCACACTGCTTGTCGGAGATGTGGGAAGCCAGGGAGTCTATGATATCCAGCAGCAGCTGCTGGCTCAGCAACCGCAGCGTGGGCAGCTTGGAGACCTGCAAGGCAACCAGGCCAGAAGGAGATGGTACCAGATCCACATAAGGGCCAGGGTGGGCAGCAGAGCCCTCTATGGCCCATCCTGCTCAGGGCTCAGGCTGGTCCTGAGGACGGGGCTAAGTGCGGCCAGTTGTGAGCTACTCTATTTTGCTCACTCCCAGGGCCCACAACTGCAGGAGACCACAGAGCCTGGGCACCCCTCCCTGCCCGGGCACGGTCACTGCCAAGGGGAAGCAAGTCCTGAAGGGGAAGCCAGAGCCCTGACCTTGGTGAACTGGTGCACGATGATGTGCAGGCAGTGCCGCTTCATGTCCAGCGCCTGGGTTTTGTCGGCTGCCTCCAGGATCTGCAACGGCAGGGACCTTGAGGCGCTGCCCCTTTCACCCCCGCTCAGTAGCAGCTGCAGCCATGGGCACGGGGCTGGGGGGCTACCTGCAGCACGTTCTGCACTGTCACATTCATCTCTAGGTTTTGCTTGCAGTACGCTTGCAGCCGGTTGTTGTAGAAGCCGTAATAGTAGGGGGCCGCAAACAGGTAGCTGGGGCCTGGTTAAGGAGCTGACCAAAGGAAGCTGGTCCACCCACATCACCCGCACTCTCCCAGGGAAGGACAAGGAGGCGCGCAGCTGGAGTCCCAAGCTCACCAGAGGCCAGGCTCCAATCCAGCCCAGACGCCAGCGGGCTCTCTAAATGGATTCTGAACTGCTTAATGGGTCAAAGGTCCCATTCAAGATCCAAAGAAAACCATAAATACCCTCCCCAGAAAAATACTGTCTGCACATCTGCAGTGCTGTTCCATGGCCTTGCAGGCCTAACAGGCATCCTGACCCCCCATGTTCAGACCCCTACTGAAATGACTTTAGAGGAGTAGCACCACATCTGTGCTCAACTGTCACACAAAGAAATGACCCACCCCATCCTCTGGGCAATTGTGAGGGTCAGGAACCCACTGGTTCCTCCTGGCTGCAGACCCCTCCCTGCCAGCTGCCACCTGCTTCAGAGAGCACCAGGCCCAGCCCCAGGCACCAGCAAATCCTCTGGAGGGAGGTACTGGGCCCAGATCACCCAGCCCAGACAGTACAGCAGGCCTCAAAGCTGCCCAAGGCAGGTGCTGGGACCCGTCAGTGGGGACCTGGGAGCTCCCTGGGGCACGAGGATGCAGCGAGTCCTCAGGCGGCATGTTGACCTCGCCGTAGTAGATGTAGCGCAGCATGGACTCGAAGGCCTGCCTGCTGGGCACCATCTCCCCGATGGAGATGTTCACCTGCCCATCCTCGGGCATGAAGGACCGGAACATGGCTTCAAAGTAGCTGCAGACAGCGAGTGGAAGACACCCGGCTGTCAGCAAAATGAAGACACCATTCAGGCCCGCCCTCCCCTCCTATCCAGCCCTACCCACCTGGAGCGGGCGGCCAGGATGGCCTTGTGGGCCGGCCGTGGGTGCCCATCCAGCAACAATGTGATGTCACAGAACTCTGCACCTGCCCCCTCTAGGTATGCCTTCATGTCCTGGATGAGAGACGTGCCTGGGGGTGGGAGGGACCCTGAGCAGGTACAGCCTGGGATTCTGGCCTCGAGGCCCCACGGCACTACCTTCCTGCACATCTGCCCATGTTGCTTCCCTAAACAAAACTTCACCCAGGCAGGAGGCTTCACTCTGGCCCTGAGGCACCATCAGCCACATTCTGTCCTCCCTCGGCACCCCACACAGTCTACCCCCCAGCATCTCATCTTCCACCCAGCCTGCTGTGCCCCCTTGCTGCCCTCATGATCAAGCCCCCTCCAGGCCCACCGCATGGCCTCTGGTGTCTGCAGATGTCACCAAGAGCCAGCAACTGGGGTCAGCACAGGCCCAGGGGGAGCTGGGGGAATGAAGGAGCCTGTGACATTATAAGCAAAGAGAAGTCCAGAGATTGATCACTGTGACTCTGGGCCATCAGACCTGACATCCCAGCCCGAAAGAGGTGCCCCATGTCTACCCCCAGAAATCAGCTCAGGAAATTCCAGCTCACCAGGACACAGCCCACTGTGGCAAGCCCCGTGGGTTGGGCGCTTCTGCGTCTATCTGTTTCTGCCCTGTACCCAGGAAAGCACTCTGGGGTCCCATGGCACCCACCCCAAGGGCCTGGCAGGTGCTATGGCTCCCAAGTCTCCTGTCACAGATGAACACCATCACTCCCAGCCCCCAGGAAAGGGGAATGGGGCTTCCTACCAATGTCCACCGGCTGGTCCGAGGGAGTACGAGGGGGCGGCTGCTGCTTCCGCCGCACAATCTCCACGATCAGTGGGGAGGAGAGGCGCTCGAACTCCTTCATCATGATCACCTGGTTGAAGTGGGACTCCTTCACCACGAAGTTCAGACAGTGCTCCTAGGCAGACAGGCGTAGGCAGGCAGGCGGGGGGGTCAAGCCAGGGCTTCAGGCAGGGTGAGGGACTCACGGTGGTAGGCAGGGAGGGGGCCTAGACCTGAGCACACCCCGCCCAGCCCTGGTCACGCTGACCCCACCCCACACCTTGAGTTGGCTCAGCTGCAGCCGGGCGGCACTCTCGCACACAACCAGCACGTTCTGCAGGTCCACGGAGGCCTCGATGTACTGGCGGCACAGCTGCTCCAGGCGGCACAGCTGGAAGCTCAGCGCCAATTTGTACACATCCATGATGAGCAGCACGTCTTCCACGTGGCCTGCGCCCCAGAGCCCCTGAGTCTCAGGGAGCCAGGGAGGAGAGGGTGGGGCACAGGGCCCAGGGCTCCCCCCATGGAAGAGTGTGGGTTGGGGCCACCAGGTGGGAACAAGGTCTCAGAGGCCTCAGATGGCATCCAGCTGCAGTGATCATGAGTGATGAGGTTGACCGCAGCCTCCAAGCCTCAGGGGCCCCATCAGTAAGGCAGGGTTGGCAGCACCCACCTCCTGGCTCTGCTCCCCGCACCCCAACCCACACCAATCCTGCTCCACCCCCACCCAGGCGGACCTTTCCGTGGGTATTTGATCTTGTCGGTGTAGAGGAACTGCATGAGCACCTCGAAGGGCCGGGCCTCGGCCTCCCGGATGGCCACGTGCAGCAGGGGTGGCCGGGCCCCACCCGCAGCCATGCTGGGGGCCTCCCTGGGAACTGGGGTGGCCTCCTGCTCCAGCTTCTGTGGGGAGAAGGGAGCTCAAGGGCACCCCAGTGGACAATAGGCATGGCTGTCAGGTCAGGACAGGGCAGGTGAGCACCTCACCTGGGCCAGCCTCTCCCGTGCCTGCGTGATCTTCCTGCGAAGCCAGCGGCTCCGCGCTGTGACAATGGCTACATGGCCCTGCACGCACTCCTCCTTCTGCACAAAGAATGATGCATGGGCAGAGGGCAGGGGACCCTCACCCCAGAGAACAGAGACCCGGCCGACCAGGGTCGGCACCACTGGGCCAGCAGCTGTTCTTCTGAGGGCCGAAGTTCCCACTGCCCGGGCACAGCAGGCAGAGCAGGGCACAAGGACAGGCACCCACCTCACCCAGCACAAACTCCACGTCGCAGAACTGACGGCTCTCCCACAGCCGCCCGTAGTCCTCGTGCAGCGTGCATTTAGGATAACAGGAGAACTGCAGGAGGGGCCCAGTGAGGCCCGATGTTGAGGACGGCAGGGTGGCCTCAGCACAGCCACGGAGGCTGACCCTGAGGTCCCTACCTGGCCCATGCTGACCCTCAGGGCCCAGGAGGCAGATGCGCCTTGAGGAGAGGAAGCAGCCGCCACCCCGCCCTGAAGCGATGGCCTGGGTTCAGCCTGGGCACCTGCAACTGTCCATGGCCCCATGGCAGGTAAGAGCTCCCCCACCAATCCCGCCTTCGGCTGGGCCCCAGTACAGTTCTGCTGCCTCCACTCTGCCTGGACCCACGTCCGCAAGCTGGCCCCCACCAGCACACCCCAATCTCCTCCAGGAAGCCGGCCCTGACCTCACTGTGGCTGTGAGTCCCTGCCCTGACCACTTGCTCCTCCAGGCCTGGGAAGGGGCTGTCAACACAAGCCACTGTCAGCCCTGGGTCAGGCTGTGATGGCTGTGAGGCTCCAGTGCTGAGCCCAGCTTGGCCTGGCTCCCTCCACTGCCTCTGCCACGAGCCCCAGCACCACCCACCTGCCCCACTGTGCACAGAGGCTACCCACTCTAGTGCCACCTCAGCCTGCCCTCAACCCAGAGGGCTCCTCCCAAGGCTTCCATCCTGCCAGGTATGGCTCTGGCAACAGTCTGGGTAAGTCCCGCCGCCCCACTTGGCCTGTTTCCCATCATGGGGACCTGTCCACCCAGCTGGCCCTACAGGCCCACAGGCCCCACACCTGGAACCTGTACATCTCCCCGCTGCGGATATTGTTGTCCACCGTGCCCCCGAAGATGTACATGGCATCCGAGATGACAGCGGCCGCATGGAAGAGCCTCCCGCTGGGTAGCTGGGGGACAACAAGGCAAGGTGGGATGGGGGGCAGAGCCTCCGCAGTGGAGCTGGTGCAGCCAGGCAAGGGCAAGGAAGTGGTACTTCATGGCCATGAAGGGCCAGGGGACAGGATTCCCAAGGGAGGAGGGCCCTGGGTACAGCTACAGACACAGGCAGGAGCAGGTGCCCTTGCGGGCAAGTGGGGCATGATGAGCCATGGAGACCCTCAGAGTGGGCAGGGCACTCGGGCCAGTGTGTAGCACCGACCCCAGAAAGCTGCAGCCTGGCCAGCTGGGCGAGGGCTCCCAGCCCTGCATCTCCTTTGTGGCGTGACCCCAAGCAAGTATTTCTCTGGTCCTCAGTCTCCCCATGTGTGAGAGGGGCTGATCACAAGACCTGCTTCAGGGGATGATGGAGCCTTAATGAAGGTCCCAGCCTGTACCTCCGAGGCGGGCTGGGTGGGCTGCTTGGCTGAGGTGGTGCCAAAGTCCAGGCCAAACATGTCTCGGGACTTCTTGAAGCCACCCCGCTCCTCAGAGGTCAGGGTGGGCACCTCCTCGGAAGCACAGGCTCGCTCGGGCACTTCAGCGCCACCAACCTGAAAAGGAGAGATACTTGGGCATGAGACTAGTCGGCAAGAGCCAGGTAGGTGCCCAGAGACCCCCACCATCCTGGCCTCGATGGCGTGCTGCAGACCTTTCCCGGCCAGGGTGGGCTTCCCGGGAAAGATCTGCAGCACAGCAGCCCCATGCAGCCATGGTGGGGTGTGGGCGTTAACCCCCTGTAGACTGTGGGGCGAAGCCAGGGCTAGAGGCTGGGGCAGGTGTCCAGGGCTGAGACCCAGGTGTCCTGGACTGGCTCCCAGTAGCTGTCTGGAACCCCAGGTGGCCCTAAGGCTATGAGGAGCTGGGGGGAGCGTGGGAGCAGGGTAGGAGCCACTGGAGTCCAGCCAGCGGTCAGGACCCCCTTGGGAACTGTCACCTCGCTGTCAGAGCTGGGCTGGACAACCTCCCAGGTCTGGAAGTCCACATCATAGCAGTGCAGCTCATTGGGCAGGGTGTTGTCGGCTGCACCCCCAAACACATAGAGGTGGCGGTCAAAGGCCACCATGGTATGCCCGTAGCGCCGCTGCGGGGGTGGTGGGGAGCCCCGGAGCAGGTGTTCAGTTGGGATGCGTGTCCACCTGGGGGTACACAACAGTGAACCAGTGCTGGGCCAGGGCTCCTGCTCACCCTCTGGGTCTCCCCACTACCCTCACTGGGAGGTCCTCACTGGGAGGTCCCCCTGCAGCCCCTACAGTGACTAGCCTGGGTCCAGAGGGAGGGCCTAGACACCTGAGCTGAGCACCCCTCACCCCATCCAGCGCTGGCACCAGCCTTGCCTGGCTCCATGCAGCCCACCTCAGGGTCCTGCCAGAGTTCCCCCTCCCCCCATGAGCAGGCAGCAGTGACGGGCAGGAGGGTGGCATCTGACCCGCCAGGTAGTCCTGTTCTCTGGGGAGTGAAGTTGTGCAGAGACCATCGCAGGTCACTGCCTTCACACTGCCCCATCAGACCAACACCACAGCTGAGTTCCCATCCTGGGAGCTGCCTGCACCCCATATCCTGATGCTGCTACAGCACCTTCTACCCTCCAGGATTCCCAGCACCTCCCACAAGTCCTCTCTTTTGCTGTTAGCTGAAGACTTCAGAACAGATCCTGGCCTGGCAAGGCTATGCCATCTGGCTTCATGCTGAGCCCCAGGCCCCTGACAGGTTCCCTCATCCTGGGGTGCCCTGCCCTTCCTCCCACACACCCCCAGCCCCCAGGGAAGCTCCCAAGTCCCTCCCCAAGCCCCCTGCACCTGCAGCTCACACTCCTTGCGCCCTCTCCTCCAGCCCCATTGCAGGGGTCAAGGGCTGGCCGGCAGCCAGGGGCAGCACGGGCCACAGCTTTCAGGGTTTACAGGCCCCTCTGGGCTTCTGTCATCATTTGAGATCTATGCAGGCCGCGTTTGTTACTGGTGGCACTGACTAAGACATTCACAGGGAAAGAGACATCCTTCACATTCAGAGGGAAGCCTAGCCAGGGGCCTCCTCACCAGGCCCTATCTTGCTAAGCTGTAGCCATATCCTGGGGGCCTGCCAGGGGCACCACACATCCCTGCTCTGGGCTGTAACCTCCTGTTGTTTGCAAAGCTCAAAAGGACAGTTACCGTGGCCACCAGGTGCAGGGGACATCCTTCATATTCAGAAGGATTCAGGGGCACTGATCATCCTCACCCAGCCCCGCTGGCCAGAGGACTCACGTCTTGTCCTTGAATTCAAACTGGAAGAGGTTGTTGGTTATCTTGGCCCCGCTTTGCCCAGAGAACACAAACATCTTGTCCCGGCACACGGCCACAGGGAAGTTGCAGCAAGACGGGGGGATCTCACCACTCTGGGCCACCTGCAGCGGGAGAGGGCAGCTCAGCCCCGGCCGCACAGGGCCCGCTCACATTTCACCACACTCAAGACTGCCGAGATGGCAGTGCTTTTATTCTTGAAACTTCCGCAGATGAAGGTTCACAGATTCATTTGTTTTGGAACAGCTCATAGCCACCTCAAGGGGCCCAGCTGTGAACAGCTGAGGCTACAGTCATCAGGGTTAAATCATCAGGGGCTAAACTCATGTTTTTCATGCCCGGAAGACTAAGAAAAAAAATTATGAATAAATAAATAAATTCCATGTTTCTAAAGGGGAAAGCAAGCCCAGGGGGAGCTCCAGGGAGCAGGACACTGGATAGTAGGCTGCCTTTGCTGCACTGAAATAAAGGGTGGATTAAAGCAAAATCACATCCCTCACACGTGGCGCTCTGCCCATCCAAAGCCTTGAGTCACTGTGCAGCCACAGTGAGGAACTGGCTGTGAAGGCCCGCAGGTCACCAGGAAGGAGAGTGAGGCTCAGGTCAAGGCTGGGCTTTGTAAGGGGAAGAAAGCAGCCTCGACCCTGAGCCTGGCTCCCGATGCCCCCCCACCTCCCTCCACCTGCACCCTGGCTCCCCACGCCTCTCACCTCCTCCCAGCAGGTGAGCTCTCGGTCCTGGAGGCCAATTGTCCACATGTCATTCAACCTGCATTAGGACAGACCAGTGAGGACCCCTTGGGTTTAGCTGTCAGGCTGGGTCCACTCCTGGCTGGAAGGGATGGCTACAGGGAGGAGCCCTACCCCCACACAGGATAGGAGACTTGTGCGGCTTTCTGTGATGCTGAAGCTTTGGGAAACAACCACATGCTACTTTTGTAATCAGAAAAAGAGCAAAGCCAACTTTCTAAAATAAGGAGGAAAAGGCCTTTGGCCTGGGCAAGTACCAGGGCTGGGCCTGAGCCTGGGCACCGCCTACCCACCCACTGACTTAGCCCCCAAGGGCAATTCCTGGCTGAGGACCCTCACCTGAGAAACTCAGGTAACCACCGGGATCCACCCAGTGGCCCTTACCTCCATCTGCCCATCCTCCTCTTCCCCCAACCCCCTCCCGAGAAATCCCCACACAGAATGGCACTCAATATCCACCAGGCAGAGCTCTCCCAGCCTGAGCCCTCAAATGCCAGGACGGCCTGCTCCGGGTCTCCATGCAGTTGGAGGTGGGGTACACAGGCCGGACCACCACCCACCTGGCATTGCCATCATAACCAGCAAAGATCCACAGCTTGTCACTATACACTGTGGCCCCGTGGGCTGACCTAGCGACTGGCAACCTGAAACGCAAGGGAAGAGGGGAGGGAGTGAGGCTGCCCAGCGCTGATCTGAGCCTCCCAGCACGTGGCCAGTGCAGGGGCCACAGCATGGCCACATCTGCCCGACACTGGGGCTTCAGGGCCTCCACAAAGCACTGGGAATAAGCAACAGCAGCAGGCAGCTACAGAGGCACAGAACCTTCTCCTCGGTGCCACCCAAAGGAGGTGCCTGAAAAGCAGGACCCCAGAAACGCTATCGGCAATACATTGGGTCTTTTTTTAAAAATTTTTTGTGACAGGTTCTTGCTCTGTCTCCCAGGCTGGAGTGCAGTAGGGCATTCATAGTTCACTGCAGCCTTGAACTCCTGGGCCCAAGTGATCCTCCCACCTCGGCTTCCCAAAGTGCTAGAACTACACATGTGCACCACCACACCCAACCCATTTGGGTCTCTTCTGAAAGGAGGGAATCTAAGGGCTGGGAGCAGGCCATGTACGGCTGCCCCCGGGGGATCCCACCAACCCCAAACTCCCTACTACAGCATGCCTTCAGGGCCCTCATCTGGGAGGCAACAGGGGGCAGATCCCAGGTCTACTGCCACCCAGGACCCAGCCTGTCCCAAATGTTTCTGCAGTTTCTCACCGTCCTTCAATTTTCCACTCCGTCCACTGGCCAGTTGCAAACTTGTATTCAAAGAGGTCATTTTTATTCTTCAAATTAGAATTGGAATAAATGTCCCCAGTATAGCCCCCTGGGTAAAGAGAGTAAGGAACCATCAAACCCAAAGGCAGGATTTAAGGTTTCAAACTTAAAAGGAACCCTCAAACCCAAAGGCAGGATGTAAGGTTTCAAATGCTGGGAGATGGAGCAGAATCTGGCCCCACTGAAAATTCATAAGCCAGGATTCCCTCCACAAGCCCCAGAAGCGTCTACTGCCTGCCTGCCTGCCTGCCTCTGTGCTGGGCTCTGGGGACACGGAGATGAGCAGGACACTGTTTCCAGCCATAGCCCAGTCACACAGAAAGACACCCAACCCTGTGAGCTCAGGGCCGTGAGGGCAAGGGGTCCCAGATCCAGCACGGAATTCAGAAGACTGGCAGACAAAGCCAAGGGTGGACAGAGCCCCGGCTGTGTACTGCCCGAGCACAAAAGGTCCAGGCTTGCAGAAGGGCAGGGTATCTGTGGGCCTCACGGCGACACAGCCGCTGGGAGGGAAGAGGGTACTTACCAAAGACAAACATGCTGCTCCCGTAGACAACGGCCGAGTGGTGGTAACGGGGTGCTGGTGGGGTCCCAGTGGTAAAGGCCCTGAAGTAGTGGGCACAGGGATGGTGAGGGTCAGCGGGGGTTACCCATGAGGCATGAGATCCACACCCCCACAGGGTGGCCTTGCCACCCCTGTGCTGCCTTTCTTTCTTTTCTTTTCTTTTCTTTTTTTTTTTTTTTGAGACAGAGTCTTGCTCTCTTGCCCAGGCTGGAGTGCAGTCGCATGATCTTGGCTCGACCTCCGCTTCCCAAGTTCAATTGATTGTCCTGCCTCAGCCTCCTGAGTAGCTGGGATTACAGGCACCCACCACCATGCCTGGCTACTTTTTTGTATTTCTGTAGAGGTGGGGTTTCACCATGTTGGCCAGGCTGGTCTTGAACTTCTGACCTCAGATGATCCACCCACCTCAGATGATCCACCCACCTCAGACTCCCAAGGTGCTGGGATTACAGGTGTGAGCCACCTCGCCTGGCTACCTTTTTGTATTTTGAAGGTGATACCTGTCTCATTATAGAAACTTAAAAAAATCGAGGCCAGGCATGGTGGCTCACACCTGTAATCCAAGCACTTTGGAGGCCAAGGCGGGCAGATCACCGGCGGTCAGGAGTTCAAGACCAGCCTGACCAACATGGTGAAACCCCATCTTTAGAAAAAAAAAAAAAAATAACCAACAAGGAAAGAAAAAAACAAAATAGGCACTAAAAATCATGCAAATTCCCATTACAAGAAAACCTCTGGCAACACCTTGAGGTCTTCCCTGAACACCTCTCCGGTGCATATTTATGTTTCCATGGAATTTGTTTAAATGGAATCAAGTGGTAGATATTTTGTGAACTGCTTATTCTGTGAACTCACAGAATGTGACCAGGTCCTTACACTACTCTAGGACCATCCACATTCCTGCTCTCAGCAGCAGTGTGGCATCCTACAGCACAGGGTCCATCAATTTCATTTAATACCTACCAATCTAACCATCATCTATCTATCTACCTACCTACCTATCATCTCATCTATCATCTAATCTATCACCTATCTATATGATCTATCTACCTATCCATCATCTATCTACCTATCATCTATCAATCTATCTATCAACTATTGTCTATCATCTACCTATCTATCTATCTTTCTTTCTTTCACCTATCTATCTATCTTTGTTACCTGGGCTGGTCTTGAACTCCTAGCCTCAAGGGAACTTCCCTCCTCAGCTTCTCAAAGCATTGGGATTACAGGCATGAACCACTGCGCCTTGCCTTAACATTTTATGTACTGAATCCATTTACACTACTTACCTGAGGCTACTCCTTTTCTGAGTTTTATACTTAAGCAACTTTTGACAAATAATTGTGAAGCCTTCAGAATGATTTTTAAAATTAATTTGTAACTATTAGCCATGTTACAAAATCAAATGTGAGAGAAATGACATAGCAATTTCTGTACCCATACTAGCGCCAGCCTCGGGGCAGAGGTGGGCAGCCCAGAAGGGTGCCATCCTGCGTGCCCAGCTTAGCAGCTGAAGGTGGTAGGCAGTCACTTGATCTCCTCAGCCCTGACAGGTTGGCTCTGGGTGTGGCATCCCTGGGGCTGTTGCTTATCTCCTCCTAGAAGCTTCTTTCTAGCTTCCCATGATGAGTGAGACTCTGCTAGCAACCAGGACCCAGCACCGTGCCACCATGTTCTAGGAGGAAAGGAAGGGCCCTAGAGCACAGGGCCACCTACCTGCACCAGGAGCAGTCTTTCACATCGAACCGCAGGAGGTCATTGAGCATGGTCTTCCTGAAAGGCAGCCAGAAAGAGGGTGGCATTAGTCAGGTCTGCTCTGCAGGGACCCCAGAGACGGGCACTGCATGTAGCCAGGGTGGAGTAGGGGGCTGATTTGGGCTGCGTCACTAACCCAGCCAGACAACCAGCTGATGCCCAAGAACAAGACTGCTGACCACAAAGGAGGCTCCCCAATTGATGCGGGCACCAGGCCTGCCTCACAAGCAGCCACCAGCCTGCCTGGGTCAGGACCAAAGCATGAACGTGGCCACCTGGAGCCCAACCAGCAGCTGACGTGAGGGGATGAAATGGCCCAAAGGCCAGAGTCACCCTCATACCTCACCCCAGCCTCCAGAACCCCTATTCACACATCCCAGTCCCCTTCCTCTGCGGCTGTACCCCACAATGCAAGTGCTTGCCCATGCCTCAGGGGAGGCCCTCTGCGTCTGTCTGATCTTCCTGCCACTTCTTTAAAAAAATTTTTAAAGCCCAGGCGCGGTGGCTCACACCTGTAATCCCAGCACTTTGGGAGGCCGAGATGGGTGGATCACGAGGTCAGGAGTTCAGGACCAGCCTGGCCAACATGATGAAACCCCATCTCTATTAAAAAAAAAAAATTAAATTAAAAAAAAATTTTTTTTAAAGGCTGGGCATGGTTGCTCATGCCTATAATCCCAGCACTTTGGGAGGCCAAATTGACAGATTACCTGAGGTCAGGAGTTCAAGACCAGCCTGACCAACATGGTGAAACCCCATCTCTACTAAAAATACAAAAATTAGCTGGGTGTGATGGCACACGTCTGTAATCCCAGCTACTTGGGAGGCTGAGGCAGAAGAATTGCTTGAGCCCGGGAGACAGAGGTTGCAGTGAGCCAAGATCGTGCCACTGCACTCCAGCCTGGCAGACAGAGTGAGACTCAGTCTCAAAAAAAAAAAAAAAAAAAAAGAGAGAGAGAGAGAGACAACGGGCTGGGCTAGGTGGCTGACACCTGTAATCCCAGCACTACTTTGGGAGGCCGAGGAGGGTGGATCACTTGGGGTCAGGAGTTCAAGACCAGCCTGGCCAACATGGTGAAACCCCATCTCTACTAAAAATACAAAAATTAGCCGGGCATGGTAACAGGTGCCTATAATCCCAGCTACTCGGGAGGCTGAAGCAGGAGAATTGCTTGAGCCTGGGAGATGAAGTCTTGCTTTACTGCCCAGGCTGGTCTTGAACACCTGGCCTCAAGCAATCTTCCCACTTCAGCCTCCCAAAGTGCTGGGATTACAGGTGTGAGCCACCGCACCTGGCCCCTGCCACTTCTTTATTGCAAAAACCAAAATAATCATGTTAAAGATACAATTAAATAGAAAAACAAATCCACTGGCCATTGCACCACCTAACATGACTGGCTGGCATGTTACTACACAGCCCTTGGGAAGAAAGGCAAACTGACAGGAGCCCAGTGCACCCTCATGGCCAGCCTATGCTGGGTGTCCCCTCACCGTCTCAGTCTGCACCACTGGGTGTGCTCCCACCTCCATTTCACAGATGGCGACAAAGCCTAGTGGTTCAAAGGCTGTGCCTGAGGCGATGCAGCCAGGAAGCCAGGAGCCTGGAAACTAGTGGTCTGACTATACTTCTCCCTCCCTCACTTGCCCCACGTGCCGCAGCAGGCCATCTTTCTTTGTACTAAGACAGTCTTTACAAAGTGAGACAAATTTGTATCCTATTTTTTTGTCACATCCCAGCAAAAATGTTTCTGCTTATGGCTACACAGTTGTCACAGAAACTACCTACTCAGGACACTCTTGAGGATGAAGGTCCCCCATGTCCCACTTGCTGCCCTGCACTGGACACCAAAGCCTTTTCTGGTTTGGAGGGTTCTCATCAAGGCTCCAGTAAACGCCTGTGGGTAGATGCCTCTTCTTTACTTCATTCCTTCATTTGACAAGCTTTATTAAGTTTTCTAGATGCTAGGATACAATGGTAAAAGGAGCACAGGCCCTGCCTTGACCGAAGAGATGGATAATAACCAATATCTGTATGCCTCAGGAACAAAGGAAGACAGTAAGAGGCATGAAGGGGAGGCAATGGTCTCTGGTGGTCCAGATGGCCAAGGAAGGCCTCAGTCACAAGAAGCATCACCGGAGAGGCAGGAAGGTGAGGGGAGAGAACGGGTAGTGCACAGGCCTGAGTAGGGGGGCACTTGGTACAATCCAAACATAACAAGGCAATGAAGCCCCAATGCAGTGACAGACTGAGGGCAGAGGAGCAGTGGACTCTCATGAGGTTGGGCCTTTACTCAGAGAGGCAGGGAGGCATCACAGGAGAATGAGCCAATGAGGGGCATGCTCTGACTTGCACTTGTAAATGGGTCCCACCGGCTACACCCGGGGAAAGAGAGTGGGAGGAAGACAGGCTTGAAGCCCGGGCCACGCCCAGGGAGGCTCTTCTGTGCAGTCTGCAGACCCTGGTGGGGTCCTGACTACCCCACCATCTCCAAGCCAGCCCCCCAGGGAGACCTGCCGAGGACCAAGGCTGTAGAACCAGTAAGAGGCCAGCCCTTCCAGGGCTTCACTCCAGGTCCTGGGGCTGAGAGGCAGGGCTAGGACACATGGGCACAACTGGTCATGTGCAAATACTCCACCCTCTGCATAAGGAAACCAGCCACAACTTAACTGGAGACAGTTCATGTGAAAGGAGGTGTGCCCACCAATAAAACATCAGGTTGTTGCCTGATGTTTGCAGCAATGTGGGAAAACCTTCACAAAAAAATGAAAACCTCATGAAATAAATAAAACTGTGTCCTCCATACCAGATGAGGCCCAGGGAAAGAAAAGTGACTCACAGGGCTGGCCGCAAAGAGGTTGTGTTTCTTTCAAGGCTCCATCTACTCAGAACAAGAGGGACGTTTCCACATACTGAGCATGTGCTGAGGACCATGAGTGCAGGATCTCATTTAATCCTTATCACCAGGAAGGTGAGTGCAGGGAATCTCACAGATGGGGAAACTGAGGCTTAGAGGCACTAGATAACATCTGAAAGGACAGTAATGGAACTGGACAGGTCCAGTCCCTGACCACAGTGTTTCTCCCCACCTGGTCCAAACACTGATGCTCAGACTCACTCACCCATTGTCTCCACCAAATACATAAATGGCATCTTTATAGGCCACCACTGTGTGCTTGCTGCGCCTGGAAAGAAAGGAGTGCAGGGAGGTGAGGACAGGACCCTCCTGGGGGGCACCCAAGGAATGGGACTAAGCAGAAAAGCTGCCACAGAGGGTTAGATATCATCTTTCAACTGCTAAGATCCATAACTGCTAATATAACACCAATCATCCTGCAAGTGAGGACCCCTGACACGGCTCCAGGACTCTCTGGACTCCTCACCCCAGCTCAGAGCACCTGGGACCCCAGCCCAATATCCACAAACACAACTTAGTTCTAGTACCCTGCCCCGGGTCATCGGGCTCTGGAACTCCCTCAGAACCCTCTCCCCTGCCCTGAACAGAGTCCTGTACAGCACCACCCCGCGCTACCAGAATCCTCCCCAGAACGCTACGCCCCGGCCCCACCCCTGGACCACGCCCTGGGACCCTTGCAGGTCGCCCCTCCTGCCCTCAGGACCCACTGAAGCCCACCGTACCGAGCACCCACGAATTCGTCGCAGGGCGGGAGGCGCCGCCAGCGATGTACTGTTTCGAAGGGCCCGAAGTTGAGCGTCAGGTACTCCACACTGTCCGAGCAGCTGTGGTCGAAGTCCACGCTCGGGGCTACCTTAGACCGCGCACCGCCTGCCAGGCCCCCAGCCCCGATCTGGCCCCCAGTGCTGCCCGGTCCAGCCATCCCGGGTCCACGCCGGATCCGCCGCGCTGCCTGCAGAACTCGCGGCCACCGCCCCGGGCCGCCTAAAGGAACCACATTTCCCGGCGAGCCCTGCGCTGACGGCGCGGCACTTCCGGCCAGCGCCGCACTTGGGGCCTTTCGCTCTTCCCTACAACCCTAGAGCTGGCCAAGAGACCACGGGCGAGTGCAGGGTTGGGTTGCCTCGCGGCGACCGTGGAACTTTCTGGGGACTGGCGCTGGGCTGTCCCTTCTAGCGAATGCGGTGTCCCGTCCCCAACGCCTCGGAACTGCTCTTCCCTGGTGCCTCCCAGGCCCACACCGCCCGAAGACCAGCGGTGGGCTCGCAGTTCCCAGCATGCCCTGTGTCTGGGCGTGACTCTGGCCTGGATCGTCCGCCGCAGTTGGGATCTCACATGGAGGGTTCCGGGCTCGCAGCGGCTTCTGCAGGCGGCTCAACGCTCCCTTTGCTGCTAGGGCCCCCAGCCCTGACACCCTGCATTTTCCCTCATTCCTTGGCGTTCTTGTCGACTGGGAGGCAACGCGGCGAGGAGCCTCTGGATTCTCATTCCTACTTAGCAGGGCCTCAGCTGCTTCACCTCCGACATGGGAATTGAGAATGCTCCGGCTATGAAAGTCATGGGGTCTGTCTCAGGACACAGCTCCCATAGCCCTAAGTGGTCAAATGCCCCAAAGTGTCAAGCATGAGCCACCTCTGAAGGAGCATTTACCATCTCAAGACCTTTGGGCGTGTTGTCTCTTCTACCTGTAGTACGCTTCCCTCAAAATTCAGAGCCAAAAGCAAAAAGCCTTGCCTGATCGCAGAGGGGGAGAGAGATGTGGGAGGGCAGGGGGCGCAGAATCAGTTGCTACCTCCTCTGGGCGTTCACAGGCTACATTTCCTTGGTGTGGCACCTAGTATTGTTTGATTGTGCCTGTTGCCCTGTGGTCTGGCCCTATGCCTGTTGGCCCAATTACGCTGGGAGTCATACAGATCTGCAAATGTGTGCGTTTTAATTTTACAGTTATGTCTAACATGTTGCTGGGTCCTTCAGGGGACCAGTCCCAACAGAAGGAGAAGAGACAGGGCCTGTCCTGCCTCTAGTGCCAGCTGTCAGTGGCAGCAGAGGCCTTGAGGGTTGAGCATCTTCTGGAGGCTGCAGAGGCCTCCCTGGAGGGGAGTCAGGTGGCTGAAGGCAAGCACTGGGAGGGCTCAGGTTCTGACCTGGGGGATCCTGGGACTGGAGATTGGCACCTGCCCCCAAGGCTTGGCCTCTGCCCCTGGTGCCCCCACCCCCGCCCCGTGCCTGCCCAAGTGTACTGCATATGAGCTCAGGATCCTTTCCCCGTAAGCCAAGACATGTCGCCAGTCCTGCAAGAATGAGGGGAAGAGGGGTCAGGACAGCAGAAAGCCTCTCCACTCTGGGCACCCAGAGCAGCTGGCCCTTGAGGATAGCAGGGGGTCTGTTCTGTGCCAGACCCTGGTGCCCAGCAGGGAGGTGTACTTGGATAGATGGAGATAGACCATTGGGTGGAGGGTCTGGGCTGAGATGGGAAAGGCTCAGAATGGTCAACATGAAGGACACGTACTTGCTGTGCAGCACAAACAGCCTTCACGAAGGCAAGAGAGAGAAACAGAAGGCCATGGAGAGAGCATGTCATTTATCATGTCCCCTTCTGGTCCTCCATTGTTTCCAGCTTGAAGCCTGCCCCTGTCTCATAGCCCCTCAGTGGCCTCCAGGCTGTCCCCAGACCCTCCCAGAGGGTGAATCTCATTGGCACCATGCCAGGATGAGGGAACTGGCTGGTATTGAGTGACCCCTAGAACCACCCTAACATTTCTATGAAGGGTATACCCAGGGCATCACTAGCTGTGTTTCCCATCTAGCGTCTATCAGGTTCAGCACAACCACGTCCAGTTAGGTGTCCCAGGCCTGGTGATCGCCCATGTATTGGGTCCTGACCCGTCCCCACAGCACTGGCCCTGCGGGGGGATACACACCCCTATCCCTTCCATCCACTGTAAGCACATAACCAGCCTACTCCCAAACCATAATACTTGCCCCATACCTCCCTGTAGTCCTGGAAGCCTCAGGTGATGCAAACCAACAGTGAGGGGAAAAGCCCTGGAAGGCTGTCGGGTAGCTGGCTGTCATGGGCAGCTTAGCCAGTCCTCCAGAAAACTACTCCCCACTCCAGGCCTCCCACACCCACACTCACTCCACTTCCCGCTTCCGGATGGCACGGCCTGAGGCCAGCACCTCAGCAACCTTGGACACAATAGGATCGTAGTTCATGCTGGCCACGGCAGTCACCTCGTCGCCTCTGCAGGGAGAGGATGGCCAAGGCTGAGGACTGCCAGGCCGTAGCCCCTTTTTGAAAACCCTGATGCACTGCTGTCCATCTGGGGCCCAGGGAAGGACCTAGCCCAGGGCAACAGGAAATGCACCCAGCCCTCCCTGCTTTGCACATTGCGGCTTGACCATGCACAAGCTTCAGGCTTTCCTAGGGAAGCTCCAGCAGTCTTCAGCGGGGCTCAGAGCTGGGCTGTTTTTCTGGGATTTTGCCTGGGATGAATCCCCCTTCCCGACTGAGCTCCCGCTGCATCGCGCCCACACTGCATCCTGATGCTCTCACTTAGTGTAAAAAGCCACAAACTTCAGCTCCTCCAGATCTCCCTGGATGATGACGTCGTCGAAGCCTTCTCCATAGCCTGTGGGCCGGGCAGGTGGGTGGCACCCACGTGAGCCGGGGAAGGGAAGGAGACTTCACAGGATCCCCTCCTAACCCCACCAAGGCCCTGCTCCTCATGTCCTTTTAGGTAGTTCCTAGCCTCGCCCCTAGCGAGTTCTTAGCGGCCTCTCCTTAGTGCGGTCATAGCCCTGCCCCTAGGTTTCCAGCCGCGCCCCACATCCAAGCCCCGCCCCTAATACCCTCGGTCCCGCCCCCATCCGAGGCCACGGGGTTACCCGTGTAGCGCAGACTCTTGCCAAACATGGCGGTCCAGAGGTAGGGTACGGTGCTGATCTCTGCCTCCTGCGCCAGCATGTTCTGGGCTGCCACGCGCCCTGCAGGACCCAGGGCCATGAAAACCCAGATTCTCGCCGTTACCACTCCCACAATACCTGCTCCTGATGCTGTGGGGACCCCTGACACGTGTGGCTCCTCCTCCTGGTCTCCCCAGAGGTCAAGAGACATCATTGTTCAGCCCACTGCCCAAGTGCACCTGCAGCTGACTGGTGCAGGGGAACACCTGGCTGAAAGCGAGCCACTTGATTGCTTCCCTAGAGAATCTGAATAAAGTGCCCTGCCTCTGGAAGGTCTGTTTCTTGGGTTTGGGGGACTACTACACCATTTCAGCTGTGCAGAGACACCTAATCAGACACATCAGGTCTGAAAAGGGAGGAGAATGGGACATAAGTATGCAGGGAGGCACAGATGACAGCCATGCACAAGGCCTCAAAGAGACCAGCGTGGGTGGTCCCCACTGGAAGCCTCAGGTGATGCAAGCCAACAGTGAGGGGAAAGGCCCTGAAGGGCTGTGGGGATGGCTGGCTGTCATACGCAGCCTATGAGGCCCCAGTAGACCCCTGTATTGGATGTACTTCAAAGTCTCCTAAACTCTCCCAGTTAAATCCTAATTACACTTGGCTGATAAGTAGCCTTGGTTACTTACAACAACTTTAGACTTTGTACTTGGACAGAAATTGGTACCAGGAGTGGGGTTTCAATGCAAACCTTCAGGTGTACAGGCAGAGGGAAGGGGAGGTGGGTGCAGAGAAGTCCCTTGTCCCAGGCTGCAAGTCTGGCAGTCCTCTCTCTGAGGAAGTGGGGCAGCTAATGTGATGGCATCTGCAGCTTAGGGTCCCAGATCAGGTGTGCACCGTGGGCAAGGCTTGGGGGACTTAGTGGACAGCAAACATGAGGATGGGAAAGCTATTCTTCAGAAAACACAGTGTCTCCACTGAGCCCAGGTTTCTGGGCTTAGATGCCACCTTGGGGACATACATGAAGCAACTGAGTTCACAGAGACAGTTGAGTGGCCCAAGGGAAACAGAGGCATGAAGTATGAAGATGACCCATTCAATCCCTCCCTCCCTCCCCAGGTTGATTAGGAATTCTGCAGAATATATGTCCTTGAGGACAAAAAGGGAGAGACTAGCAGAAGGAAAACTGAGGCTGAGAAGCTGTGGCTGGCTCAATGAAGTGTCACTCTGTGTGTTGGCTGGATCGCCAGGATGAGGTTGGCCAGAGAACCCACATCAGAGCTTTGATGCCTAACACAGTGTCCAGGACCCAAGGTCAGCAACTGAGACATGGGCGTGGGGACACTGAGACCCTGAGACTCCCTCCCACCCCTCCACATACCCCGGGACTGGCCATACCCTGAGCATGAGCCATCTGCCAGTGTGGAATGTTCACTTTCCGGTTGTTCCTCCAGGCAAGGGGGAAGGTGACGGCATCACCAGCTGCGAACACACCTGGGACATTGGTCTGCATCATCTGTAGAGAGAGGGCCCAGGGCTCCACGGGTGCGACAGGGGCCCTGACCTGAACCTCCTGACACACCCAGCCAAGACCAAGCCCTCCCCACCCAGCACCAGCCACCCCACCTTGTTGACAGGGATGAAGCCTCGGGAATCCAGACCGATGCCGCTCTGCCTCAGGAAGCCAGTGGCGGGCACCGCACCTGACCAGACGGAGGCCTGTGTCCACCACCCTGTCCTTTCCTTCTGCATAGTCACTTTCCACACCCCACACCCTGCATGTGGTGTACCAGCCCCAGACTGATCATACAGGGGCTGCCCACCTGGGGCCTTCATGCACCCTGGCCCACTACCCGGGCTTCCACAGACCCCAGTGCCTCCCACAAGACCTCAGGTATTGCCTCCTCCCAGAAGGGTTCCACAATGCCCTTAAGTGGGGGGCAGCATGCCATACCTCCTCAGCCCCTGCAGGTGTTACCACCTCCCAGGTCAGCCCCTCCCCAGGTTGGCACCTCAGCTGGAGCAGGAGCCAATTCAAGGCTTGTCTGTCAACTCTCGCAGGGCATGGAGAGGAGGGTTACTGGGCTGCAGGCACTGGGAGTATCCTCTGTGCCAGGCCTGGGCTGAGCCCGGAACACACCTTCCCCAACAGCTCTGTGAAGTGGGGGCGGTTGGGGTCCCCATTTGTCAGATATGGTGGAAACTGAGGCTCTGGGAGGGGAAGGGACTAACGCAAGGTCACATGTGAGCATGTGCAGGCGACTGTGCTGGTTCACGCCTGCCCGCCCGCACGGCCACTCACCAATGCCCACCACGCAGACATCAGCCCGCACGACCTTGCTGCTCTTCAACACAACCTCCTTCAGCTGTGGGGAGTTGGTGGGTGAACAGGTGGGCCCAGCTCCCAGGCTAGGAGACAGAGGACAGAAAGCAGCAGGGAGAAGGGAGAAGGGCCCACCTTTCCCTCCTGGGCCCGCAGCTCTGACACCTCCGTCTGCATGTAGAACTTCACCCGGTTGTTCTCAAACATCTGTCAGGCAAATGGGCAGGTGGGCAGTGGGTGAGAGCCCAGCTAGAGGCCGGGCTGGGCCCCAGGGCTCTGAGGCACTGGGTCCTGGGGTGGGCTCACCTTCATAAGGGCACGACCTACGCGCTCCCCCAGGAACCTCCTGAAGGGCGTCTCCTCCAGCTCCACCACAGACACAGAGTGGGCCTTCTCTGTCAGGTAAGCGGCCACTTCCATCCCTGGTGGTGGGCAGGGGGTGGCAGGCTGGTACCCTGCACCTCCCTGGGCCAGAACTTCCCTGGAACTGTCCATCATGACCTGACCACCACCATCCCCACTGCCCACTACCTCTCACCCAGGAAGCCGGCTCCTACGACGACCACATTGCGGCCTCGGGCCAGCCTCACCACACGATTGGCATCCTCTGGCGTCCGGATGGTGAACACGTTCTCCACCTCTTTGCCTTTGCAGCTCAGAGTCTTGGGGCTGAGACATGGCAGCATCAGTGAAGGCCTCGTGGCAGCCCCAGCCCCATCCAGGCCAGTGGCCTGCCCAGTATCCAATGAAGGGTAAGAGGGAGACCCTCCTACCTGCTCCCTGGTGCCAGCAGTAGCTTGCTATACTCCAGCTTGAAGCCATCCTTGAACATGACCTTCTTGTTTCTCACGTCCACTGTGACCACCTGCAACCCCCGCCAGGCAGAGCATAAGCTTGGGCAGGGCCTGGACCTCGCTGCCCACTCCTGGGTCCTGTCGTACACCCAGAGCCCAGCCACAGCTTCTGAGAAGCCCCTGCTGGAGCAGATCCTGCCACCTGGGCTTTGTTCTTTAAGCTTCAGACGTCACCTTCCCTTCAAACCCTCCTTGCCCTCCCAAGTCCTACCAGGCTCTCCTATCCAGGCCGATTGTTCATTTCCGCACACCCTGGGGCTCTGTGTGTGCCCATGACCCACTGAGAAGCAGCTCATTGCTGTCTCCCAAGGCTGGGGCACCTCCCAGGTGCCTGGGCAGTGGGGCCAGGAAGAGCACCAACCCTCCCCGCCCCAGGGACCCACACAACCTCAGGGTTCCCACCTTCCCTCCCTGGGGCCTGTTTCCTGACCCTGTACCTGAGCCTCGGTGAGCACCTCGATGCCATAGGCTCGGAAGAACTCCTTGGGCCTCAGGGCCAGCTGCTCAGGCTGCGTGTCCAGGGACTGCAGGAGACAGCCAGCTTGAGAGGAGCCAGTTTACAGCAGAAGACCCTGGTGCTCAGGGAAGGTGGGGCCAGCCCCAGCCACAGGGGCTGCAGGACAGAACTCAGCAAACCCAGGTCTGGCCAGGCACAGTGACTCACGCCTGTAATCCCAACACTTGGGGAGTCTCAGGCAGGAGGATCGCTTGAGCCCAGGAGTTCAAGGCCAGCCTGGGCAACATGACAAAACCTCGTCTCTACAAAACATACAAAATATTAGCCAGGCATGGTGGTGCATGCCTGTAGTCTCAGCTACCCGGGAGGCTGAGGTGGGAGGATCGTTTGAGCCTGGGAGGTGGAGGTTGATGCTGCAGTGAGCTGTGAGACAGGCACTGTACTGCAGCCTGAGTGACAGAGCAAGACCCTGTCTCAAAAAAAAGAAAAGCCCGGCCCGGTGGCTCACGCCTGTAATTCTAGCATTTGGGGAGTCCGAGGCAGGTGGATTGCCTGAACACAGGAGTTCAAGACCGGTCTGGGCAACATGGCAAAACCTGTCTCTACTAAAAATACAAAACATTAGCCAGGTGTGGTGGTGCACACCTGTAATCCCAGCTATTCTAGAGGCTGAAGAATGAAAATCGTTTGAACCCAGAAGGTGGAAGTTGCAGGGGGCTGAGATAGAGCCACTGCACTCCAGCCTGGGTGACAGAGCGAGACCCTGTCTCAAAAAACAACGACAAAAAAAAAAACTTAGAATTTTGGGGGGCACCATGCACAGGCCTAGCATAAGCAGAGAGGGCAGCTGGCCAGACCCCCGTGGGGTGACAAGCAAGGCTCAAAGTGGGCTTGACTGAGAGGGGCAGGGTCCCCACTTGCCCCACCCCCTACCTTGCTGAGCTTGGGACGGTCATAGGGAAGATGCCGGTCTAGCGTGCACAGGACGATCCGGTCGGAGAAGCCCTCCTGCCGCAGTGTCTCTGCACACACCAGGCCAGCTGCACCTGAGGGGAGGGGCCCATGGGCCAGGGACCACGTCTCTCCAGCCCCGTCTCCCACCCTGCCCCTCATAACTCCGCTACCAACCTGCACCCACAATGAGCACATTGGTACTACCGCTGTACCCAGCACTTGGAGAGATACACTTGGCCATCACCTTGGTCCTTCGCTGCAGCTGCAGGGCCTGTGGGTGGCAGGAGGGTGGAGAGTCATTGCCATCCTCCACATGCCGTCATCCTGGCAGGCAAGTCCTGGAGTCCAGCCCAGCCTCATCCCCACCATAACCCCTCACTCTGCTCCAGTGATACGTGCCAAGCTCCTCCCACCACAGGGCCTTTGCACGTGGTGTTCTCTGGGCGAAGATGCCCTCCCCGCTCCTTCCTTCTACCTGAGGCCTGAGCCACCCCCTCACCTGCTTGCTGGCCCGGACGTACACCTTCTCCTTCTCAATCTTCACCTGCAAGGGCTGCATTGCTCAGGACCAGCCCCGAACCCTACACCCCTGATTCCCACCCCACCGCACTCCCGGCCCCACCTGAAACTTGTGCAGACTGTCCAGGCCGGGGAAGTCCTCCAGGTCCCCAGTGCTGATGTTGAAGCAGGCGCCATGCCAGGGGCAGCGCACCCGACCACGGGACAGAACTCCTGGGAAGGGGAGGTGCTAGGCTGGGGCCACCAGCAGGGGTTGCCTCCCAAGGATCCTTGTGCCCCGGCAACTGCAGGCGCCTCCCCACAGCCCAGGAGGCTTCTCTGATAGAGGAAGATCCTGGGGCCTGGGGAGGAGCCAAGCTGGCATGGGGCCTGGAAGGTCCCCTTCATGCCTCCCACCTGACAGCTCACCTTTCACCAGGGGTGCTCCGTAGTGTGGACACTTGTGGCCCAGGGCGTGGAACTCCCCATTGTCCTTCACCAGCAACACCTTCCCCCAGCCCAGCTCCACTTCCCGCATCCTGGGGAACCACAGCACTCAGAGGACAGGTCAGACCCCAGGCACAACCTTCTGGCAGCTCCTCCCAGTGTTGAGCCTTCTGGGGAGCAGCCCCAGACCAGTAGAGGCCACAGAGGCAGTGACCAGGAGCCTTCAGGCCACCCCCTGCCCCCGGGCTATGGCCTGGGCCTCACCCTCCCACTTTTGGATCCCTGATCCCACGCCCAGGCAGGCCCGGAACCCACTGGCCATTCTCGAGGTCCTTGACGTGGCAGACAGCAGCCTCCACGCAGTCCTGAGGGCTGGGGTAGGGGTGAGGCGTGGGCAGGCGCTCCTCCGTGTGGAAGTGGCGGGCCGTGCCATTGCCCTGGTAGGCCCGGGGGCTGCCCTTCCCACTGGCTGACAGCTCCTCCTTGCCTCGCTCCTTCTCAGGCAGCACCACCTCGATCTTGAGCTCCACTGTGGGCAGGGCAGCGCCTTGAGTTCCCCAGCTCAGCCCACTTCCTCCCCCATCCCACAAGCTGGACACAGAGTCCCGCTCCTCGGGGTGCCAGGAGGCTCAGCCCTGCCTGGCAACCTCCCCAGAATGCCCTCTGCATCACCAGCAAAGAGCATTAAACCTGGCATAAAGCAGAGGAGGGGCATGAACGGCTGGCGGTGCACCCGGGTCTGCATAAATTCCTTTCTGCATGTCTCTTTTTTATTATTTTTTATTATTTTTGAGACAGGGTCTCGGTCTGTCGCCCAGCTGCAGTGCAGTGATGCAGTCTCGGCTCACTGCAGCCTCTGCCTCCTGAGTTCAAGCTCAAGTGCTTCTCCCACCTCAGTCTCCCCAGTAGCTGGGACTACAGGTGAATGCACCACACCAGGCTAAGTTTTGTATTTTTTGGTAGAGATGGGGTTTCAACATGTTGGCTGGGCAGCTCTCAAACTCCTGACCTCAAGTGATCTGCCCACCTTAGTCTCCCAAAGTGCTGGGATTGCAGGCGTGAGCCACCACACCTGGCTTCCTTTTTCAATTACAGTATTAGTGAAGCGGGGCACAGAGCTAAGTTCCTCCGACCCTGCAACTCTCCTGGCTGCAGAAATCTCTGCAGCAGAAAGAACCCTGAGTCCCCAAAGTCCTGGATCTTCCAGTGGACAATGACGATGTCCCTGACAGCTCAGGGACACATTTAGGGTATGACTCATGTGCACACAGGGATTCAAAAGTGGCAGCAGCTCAGTTCCCAGCTAGTGAATCTGGATGACAGGAAGTCAAGGATTCATTGTCTATTCTTACAACTTTCCCATATATTTAAATTTTTTTCAAAAATTAAAAAAAATGTACACAGCATAATTTCAACTTCTTCTTTTTCTTTTCTTTTTTTTTTTGGACAGAGTTTCACTCTTGTTGCCCAGGCTGGTCCAATGGCACCATCTCAGCTCACTGCAACCTCCGCCTCCCAGGTTCAAGCTATTCTCCTGCCTTAGCCTCCCAAGTAACTGAGACTACAGGCATGTGCCACCACACCTGGCTAATTTTGTATTTTTAGTGGAAATGGTGTTTCTCCATGTTGGTCAGCCTGGTCTTGAACTTCCAACCTCAGGTAATCTACCCACCTCAGCCTCCCAAACTGCTGGGATTACAGGCATGAGCCACCACACCCTGCCCAATTTCAACTTCTTAAGATAGCTCTTCACACCAATTTGAGAATCCTTCATCACTGAGCAGGTGCTGGGTTTTCAGTGTCCCCGTGTGCCCTGGGGGTGAACCCCAGCATGGGAATGCATGTAGATGACACAGAGGGGGCACAAGCCCCCTACAGCCTCCACACAGAGGCCTCCACCCCGCATGCCCACGGGGCCAGCTGTAGTGGGGACTGAGCCAGAGATTGCCATTTTCTTCTCTGTACTTTTCTACATTCTCCAAATTCCCTATGATGTGCCTGGGATATTTTTCTAATTAGAAGAGAACAATAAACAGAATTTTTAGTAGCAATAATCCGGCCCCCCAGGCTGCTGCTGTAGGGAGATGCTGAGCGGTGGACGCTAAGCCCCTGGCACGGCATGGGCCCGACGCCGGAGCAGGAGGTACCTCTCTCACCTCCCACAGCACCAGCGCCTCCGGGCTTCACCTCTCCTCCCCACCGCCTCATTCAGACCTGACACTCCAGAAACCAAGAACCCAGAGAGGCTGCTGAGCTGCACCTCCAGCCCTTTACCTGAGCTGTCCCCTGGGCTGGGGCTCCATCCTTCCCATCTACCCAGACAAAGCTCAGGAGTTGCCTCTCCTGGCTGCCCGGCCCCTGCATATCCCTCATCTTATGTTCTGCTAATCCCCCACCCTCGCCAGGCCCCTTCCCCAACCCCAAGTCCCAGCCCCCAGCTCAGGCCCAGGCATAGCAGGGGACAGGGGCAAAGGTCAGTTTCTTGACTCCAGCCCGGCAGGGAGCAGGCAGAACACATAAGCACACCAGCCTGTCATATCGGATGGGGGGTTATGGGTGGGGTTTTTCATTCCATTTGCTATATTTTATGTAATGGTGTTAGAATGTTTTTGGAAGAATTAAAAAGAGAAATCTGTGGACTTAGCTGACACCAGCTCTGGAAGCTGTGGGAGCTCACGAATAGCCTGGCAGGGGGGCCAGATAACGCCAAGCCAGGCCACTCTCACCCTCCACCTCCTCCCAGAAGGCTCCAAGCCTGCTCACTGATACAGTCAAACAGAAGCCATTAAATCAGGGGCCCTTTGGAAAGGTGGATGGGAGGGGCGTCTCTGCTCGCAAAAGGGGATCAGCCCCAGCTCCATGACTTCCAGCTGCCCATAGTTCTGCCTTAGCCCCTTTAGACCTCAAGATGCCTTTATTGTAAAATGGAGAGAAGACCAGGTGCGGTGGTTCATGCCTGTAATCCCGACACTTTGGGAGGCCAAGGCAGGAGGATCACTTGAGGTCAGGAGTTCGAGACCAGCCTGGCCAACATGACAAAACCCCGTCTCTACTAAAAATATAAAAATTAGCTGGTCATGGTGGCATGGGCTTGTAATCCCAGCTACTTAGGAGGCTGAGGCAGGAGAATCGCTTGAATCCAGGAGGCAGAGGTTGCAGCGAGCTGAGATTGTGCCACTGCACTCTAGCCCGGGTGAAAGAGTGTGACTCTCTATCACAAAAAAAAAAAAAAAAAAAAGAAAACTGCCAGTCGTGGTAGTGCAGGCCTGTAGTCCCTATTACTCAGGAGGCTGAGGTGGGAGGATCACTTGAGCTGCTGTGAGCTATGATTGTGAACTTTAGCCTGGGCAACAGAATGAGAACTCATCTCAAAAACAAAAATAAAACAGAGAGAAGAGCAAATGCCTTCCTCGTTGGCGATAGTGAATGCTGAAGGAAATAATGTTTGTAACCCAGAGCAGAAGCTCAGTAGATGGAGTTGGGCGGCAGTGTTTTACCAGTTAGCTCTGAGCCTAGCAGCCATGATGGGGATGGAAAGCCTGTCGGTAGCAGCTGTGGCCTAATAAAAGGCAGATTAACAGATGCTAAGAGAGCTGCACTTCCTCCTAACTCTGAGCTAGGTGAGGGACTGGCCTGATATCTTCCTATCCTTGTGTGTGTATGTGTGTGTGTTTTTTTTTTTTTTTTTGGAGATGGAGTCTCACTCTCTTGCCCAGGCTGGAGGGCAGTGGCGCAATCTCAGCTCACTGCAACCTCTGACTCCTGGGTTCAAGCGATTCTCCCGCCTCAGTCTCCTGAGCAGCTGGGATTACAGGCATTGGCCACCATGCCCAGCTAATTTTTTTGTATTTTAGTAGAGATGGGGTTTCACTGTGTTGCCCAGGCTGGTCTTGAACTCCTGACCTTGTGATCCACCTGCCTTGGCCTCCCAAAGTGCTGGGATTACAGGCGTGAGCCACTGTGCCCAGCCCACCTTACTCTTTTCTTCTTATCAAGAACTCAGACAGAACACGCAGGAGCACAGAGGGAGCCCAGGAAGCAGGTACTGATCCACACAGAGCCACAGAACTGAGTGGAGCAAGATAGGAAGTGAAGGGTTTGCACAGAGGCCTTCTGCTTGCTCTGGTCTCTCTGTGGCCCCTTATGACCTCAGCTGAACCCTCACTCCGCAAACACTGTTACTCCCACATCTGGAAATTCTCTAAGCCTCATGCCTGACCTGCCCAGCATGGGCACCTGGGCCCCGAGCCTCTGGCTCCAGCCCCGCAGGGGAGTCCTGGCGGCACAGAGCCCAGCTCAGGGAAGAAGGGATAACAATAGTCCACAAGTGCTTCTCGTGTGCAGGCCCCGTGCTAGGCACAACAGCCCCACTTTACAGTCCTCACCGCAGAGGCTCAGAGAGGTGAGATTACCTGCCCAAGGCCACACAGCCAGGAAAGGACAGGACTGGATTTGCCTAAGGTCTTAGCACTACCTTTGGGTCCTGGGGCCACGGGTCCCAGGCAGGCCAGCCCTTTGGGGTCCTTTAAAAGAACCTGCAGGTAGCATCTTCTGCCAGAGCCTCCTGCCAGCCCAGCAGTGCCACAGAAGTCTGGTGTGAGGCCAGCTGGCATCATCCCACCCACTTCTAAGGGGAGACAATGGACGTCATCTGCCCAAGGCACATTTTGAGGCAGGGAAGGATCCATCCCAGGCCTGGGTGTCCACAGCACAGGAGCCAGGGGAGGAAGAGTGGAGCAGAGGCTTCCTGGAGCAGGGGCAGGTGGGTCCCTCTGCCCGGTGGGTCATCACAGCTCTCCTCCCTCCCCCAAGTTCTCGCTTAGACCCAGGAAAAGGAGAAAAGGCCCACAAGTTCCAAGGTAACGGAGCTGATGGGTATCAGGTAAGGGGAGCTGGGGTGAGCTGGCCGGGCGAGCTGGCCAGGGCGGCCTGGTGGGGTGAGTGGAGCACTGGCTGGGCTCTTGAGGCCTCACTAAACCTCAGTTTCTCCATCTGTGACAAAGCTGCACACTCCTGCCTCCCTGGGTGTTGTGAGGAGAGAAGAGGGAAAGTGGGGGGCCAGAGGGAGAGCTCCACAGACACGAGTCTTCAGTGGGGAACAGACCCAGGCCTCCCCAGCGCCCCAGGACACTCCCACTTCTGGCTGGAGCCGCACAGGCTAGGTTGGGTGACGATTTCCTGTATAAATGGGGAAATGTGCCCAGAAAGGCCAAGAAGGCAGCCCGAGGCCACACAGCGGGTCAGAGGAGAGGGAGCGGCCGGGATCTGCCCACGACACTCCCACAGCAACAGAGAGGTCAGGGTGGCCAGCCCTTCTCTTTTGCAGAGAGAAAAACTGAGGCTCAGACGGGTAAGTTGCATGCCCCAGGTCACAGAGTGTCTGAGGGTGTCCCCAGATCCCCCCTTCCCTGGCCCTGGGGGCATAGCCCCTTCCCCAACCCTGCAACAGGAGGAACCCTGCCTTTCCTTTTCCGAGAAGGGTCCTGCTGTTATTTCCACCACCACTCAAAGCCCCAAGGAAAAAGGGGCACCCACGGGAGCGGGGGCCAGCGGGGGAACTGCTCCAGGCCCCCTACCCCCTCCTGGCGGTAGCGTATTAACATTCCGAGCGGGCTCCTGCCTAGCCTGACCTACTTCAGAGGCCTGCCGAGCGCAGAGGGGGAGGGGGGAAGAGGAGGGAGGAGGAGGCAGGGAGGGAGGAGGAAGGACAGAGGCAAGAAGACAGGAGGTACCTGGTTTGGGCTTGGAGAAGCAGCCGCCCATGGCGAGTGGCCTGAGGATGGCCGGCAGGCAGGAGCACAGATGGGGAGCTGTCGGAGGCCTAGGGCGCCCCCCATGGGGCTGGACCCCCTGCAGGCCTTAGAGACGCCGGAGCCGCCATCCTTTTGGAGCTGCTCTAGGACCTGCAGGGGAGACTGGGGCCATCAGGACCGGGGCGTGTGTGCGGGCAGAGGTAGATGGAGAGAGACTGCGGGAGCTTCGGAAACAGTCTTACATTTGAGCTGGGAACCATGGCGTGTAGGGGGGAGTCTGATCCCAGAGCAGGGGGTCCTGGAGGGCACCTCCCCTTTGGAGCCCTCCAAGCTCAGCTCCCTCACTCTCCCAGTGGAGCTCCTCTGCCCCAACCTCGGCCACCCTCAGTCCAGCCCTGAAGCTGCCTTGCCCAGGAAATCCTCCCTGATTCCTGCTGCCTCCTCACGCCCTCCCTTCCCCTCTCCAAATCCCACAGCCTGGGAATTCTGGGACCCTCCGTTCTCCCGGGAGACCACCGTGCCTAGGCTCCAGCAGTGGGTCACCCTGGGCAAGCTGAAGCCCTCCTCATCCTCGGTCTTCTCCCTCCTACAATGGGGGTGACATCAGACTCCCCCTGGTCCAGCTCCACCCTGGCTAGCACTCTGGACACCCACCTCCTCACAGGGCAGCCACTGCTCCGTGTTCCAGACCCAGCAGTGGACTGAGGCTGCCGGGCCTTGGAAGGCAGGGCAGGGAGGGCGGGGGTCCAGGAGGTGGCCCAGCCTCCATCCTCCTCCCAGCTCAAGCTGTGGCCAGGAGGGGCTGGGGGGCGGTGTGGGGTTGGGCTAGTCCACTGGTCCCCAGGGAAACCCAGCTCTCTGGTGAACAGAAGTGGGCGGCCAGCCCAGGCGTGATGGGGTTAGGGGAAAGTGAAGCCAGGCACACAGCCCTGCCACGCCGGTGGCCAGCAGCCAAAGCTCCCCCTACCCCTGACTCCAGCCCAGGTCTGTGGTGCTGAGGTCATGCCCAACAGCCCAACAGCAGATGGGGAAAGCAAGGGGCCAAGGTCTCATCAAGGTCAAGCAGCAAGTAGGGGTATCCATGTGGCCTCCCACCCTCCCCACTTTAGTCAGTTTTAAGAATGGGTAGGGGCCCAGAAAGCCCCCATATCACCCTAAGGCCCGGCAAAGTGCCCTGGGGGAGGGAGCACCTGCACAGCAGGGAGCTCACTGTAGTCCAGGTGCCTCCCAGGCCCCAGGGTGGGCCTTCCGGAAGATGCAGCCTACAGGTGGACTTCGGAAGGCCCAGGGCATAGCTGCCTTGTTTGCAAATGACCTCCCCACCGTCCATCCCACTGCCATCCTCCTGTTTCCCCTGGAAGTTCTTCCTGAAGTCTCACTTGAGGTGGGACTGAGGCCCCCTGGTCTGGCCCAGATGCCAGGAAGGGCCATGGGTGGGTGCCTGAGAGTGAGGGGTGGAAACAAAAGGACAGGATGGAGAGGGACCATTGTTCCTGTCGGCCCTCAAGGTGCCCATTACAGGGGAGGAGGCGGTGGCTTCCATAACCACTGGACTGTGCCCTGGCTCTTTCTCCAACTTGTCAGGAAGGTCTATAAAACTCAGTTGCCACCAGCCCCACCTGCCCCCTCCCTGGGCACTAGGTGGCCCCTCCCCAGGTCCTGGATTCACCTCTGGCTCAGCCCTGCCCACTTCCTTCCTGCCTGACCTCAGTCCTCAGCTGCTAAGCCACAGATCCCAGGAAAGGTCAGACCTGGTCTTGCCACCGGGGGCCTGCCCAGGCTGTGCCATCCCTTCTCGAGTTCACCGGGGGCCTGAATCCCCCAGGGCCTAGACCAGGAAGGAGACTAGGTGGGGCCCCTATGCCTTCGGCCTACTGTGTGCTAGATCAGCTTGAAGCCCGGACACCGCACTCAAAGGCAAAGGTCCTTGCCAGGGGCAGGGCAGGAGGGCCCTCGGGTTTGTGCCGAGTGCCAGAGTGCTTGCTGTCCCTTGCCCACGAGCTGCCCACTGCGGAAAAGTTCCAGCAGAGCGCAGTGCCAATCACCCAGCAGGAGTCTGTGTCTGTTCTAGGGACCCTGGGACCTGTGAAGCGGGACTGGATTACCCCCACCTCACAGAGTGGCCTCTGCTCCCCTCCACCCTCCCAGGGCTCCTGGCGCCCCCGGGGCCAAGGCTGGGCAGGGTCCTCTTCCGACTCCTCCACCTCTCGCCCACCCGCCCCCACTGCTTCATCCCCAAGGGCTCCTGCCCAGATCGGACTTCCGCCCAGATCGGGCTCCCAGTAGTTTCCAGGCGTCCCAATAGTTTCCAGGGATGGCATCTGACGCCAGTCCTAACTTAGAGTGTGGGGGCTCCGCGCTCTCCCCTCCCCCGGAGCTCAGGCGCAAGCCTCTGTCCACTCTCCCCGCCTTTGCACGTGCAGTTCCCTCTCTCTGGGAAGCCGGTCCCAGCAGCCAGCTCTGTCCCGGTGCCCCTGCCAGACCTTGCAGCCCGGGAAGGGGGACTGGCACACAGTGGGGCCCCGCGGCGAGCTGGGAAGGGGCCGTTGTGGGACGAGAGAAGGACGCGGGGCGCTCCGGCCCCCAGCCAGTGTCTCTGGCCCCAGTTGCCGACCCCCAGTCCCTAACGCGCCGGCCCCGGGTCGGAGACCCGAGCGCAAGCGCTGGCCCCCGGCGCCCGCTGGGGCCAAGGAGCCGGGGCGGGGGGCGGGGACCGGGGTCCCGAGGGCCAGGGTCCCCGGGGCGGGCGCTCACCTGGGCTCGGCGCGGGCCTGGGCTCGGGAAACGCTCGGGGCCGCGGGCGCGGGGGGGTGGCGGGGAGGCGCGGGCGGGGCGGGGCTGGCGCTGCGGCTGCACTGCGGCCGGGGAGCCCGCGGAGCCCAGCACCGCCCCGCGGGGCCGGAGCAGGTGTGGGGCGGCCGGGGAACAGGGGGCAGGCCGGGGCCCTTGACCTCCCGACCGGAGTCGCGGGGCGTGGGGAGGCAGCCGGGGGCCGCTCTGGCCTGGGGAGCCCCGGGCCGGGGTCTGGGTCTCCGGGGATCCTCGCGACCTCCTAGGGATGCCCAGCTGGGGCGAGCGCAGGGTACGGTTTTTTTTCCTTTCCTTTCTTTCCTAAGTGTCGGAACCATCTGTGAGCGAGTGGGGGAACTTGAATCAGTCGGAGTAGCCTCCGAAAGAAGGAAAACCCCAATCAAACCTTGCTGCCCATAGCTCCCTTCACTGGTTGGGGGGTTCAGGTTCCCTAGTCTCCTAGGTTCCTCCTGGCGCTCTCTCCACACATACCAGGGTCTGTTTTCAATTATATTTTATTACATTTTCTTTTTCTCACCTGTCATTTACCAGGAGAACTCCTGGGATCTCCAGAAATCATAGTGCACCCTGGTGTTGTGCCTCCTCCTTCAGGAAGCCCTCCCTGACCAGCCTCCCCTGTATTAGGGCTGATTATTCTGACCGCTAACACTTGAGTGTTTCATTGTCCTTAATGTGTTGATCTCTGCGTTGTAGACCTTGTCCTTCCAGCAGGCTGGAGCACAGAGGCCGTGTAGGTCCCTCCCCTGTCTGGGCCTTGCTCTCCTCTCCTGTAAGGAGGACAGTAAGGACAGCAGTAATAGTTTCCTGTGTCAGGCCCAGCGGGCCTTCTCAGGCCATCCTCTGGGACTATTTGTGCCCCACCCCACCCAGGGGGCAAATTTAAGTCCCCCCTCCCACCACCCTCCTACAATTTTACAGATAGGAAAGGCAGCCCAGGGAGTCCTAGTCTTGCTCAGCGTCAGGAGCAGGCCCTGCATGGGTCACACTGGGGGCAGATGGTGTGGTGCCAAGGCCCGGAGGGCACATGTGGCTCAATTCAGGTTAAGTCCTCTCAGCTCATGTGTCGTTTCCACAGCAGGACCTTTGCCACTGCCACAGGAGGGTCCCATCACAGGGCAGATGGCCGTGTTTGGGCCTGGTGCCCTCCGTCTCCAACCAGCCTGCCTGGAGATTTCGCACACGTGGTGATCTTGCCGCCCCACCCCCCACCCCACCCTCAGAATCTCCTCCAGCCAGGAAGACCGGGTGTCCCATAATAACTGTGGCTGTGATTTTGCATGCATTTATTTCCTTACCCATCACAATAGCTGAGGAGGAACGTTCTCTTTGTACCATCTCCATTTCACAAACAGAGAAACTGAGGTTCAGGGAGGTTAGGGACTCTCCAGGCCCACACAACTGCTAAGTGGCAGAGCAGCCCTGGGCAGGCTGGCCTCCCGGGTGGAGGGGTGGAAGCAGGAGGGGAGAGGCCTTCCAGGCTCATGCAAGGCCACAGGGCCTTCAGTGCACAATTCAAGTCTGTGACTGCGCCAATCAGTAAGTGGACCCCTGTGCTGCAGCCTCCCCAGGACACAGTGAGTAACTGAAGTGCTCTCCCAGATTGCTACCAGGACAACTCCACAGGCACAGATCCAGGCACAGGGGTGCTTGGGAAATGGGGTCAGGGCTGCTAAGTTTGGGGTGTCAGAGATAAAGCTGGGGAAACAGGTCAGTGTGGGGGCGGTGAGGAGGCCAGCAACCTGGGGAGCTACCCTGACACAAGGCAAGTGCAGGCCTGACCTGGGGCAAGTCCCTTGTGGCCTCCTTAATCCCAGGCCCTGCGCTTGAGGTTCCTGCTGCCCCATGCTGGGGCAGAAATCACAAGATCTTCATGGAACAAAAGCTAAAACCAAGGGCAGGCTAGAAGTGCTGTCTCTCAAAGGGCCCTCAGGCTTAGGGGATATGCATGTGGACCAGGGGCCCCAGGAAGACCCAGGAGGGCTCTGAGCTCCAGGCAGCCTGAGGTCCTGATCTTGCCCCAAGGATGGTTCTGGAAAGACAATAATATTCCAGCAACCTTAACAATGCCAAATGGAGCACATGGCTGCGGTGAGATGACCTAGAGCAGTTGGGAGGTCCCCCAGGCCCATCAGACACCCCAAAGACAGGAGGAGATAGCCAAGGTTAGAGAAGCAGTGAGTGTGGGGGGGATAATTCCACAGCCTGGGAGAGAGGCGGATCCCCAGCCCTGGACACACCCCATCGCCCAGCAAGCTTGTGCCTCTTCTCCTTACATCCGCCCTCTGCTGTCAGGTTCTCCTGTTCCCCACTCCCCTCACCCTAGGGTCTCCAAGCACAGGGCGCAGGTATTCAGGTAAGAAAGTGGCCAGGCATGGCGGCTCATGCCTGTAATCCCAACACTTTGGGGGACTGAAGCAGGAGGATCTCTGCCTGGGCAACATGGCAAAACTGTCTCTATAAAAAACAATCAAAACAACACATTGGCTTGGTGTGGTGATGCAAGCCTGTAGTCCCAGCCACCTGGGAGGCTGAATGGGAGGATGCCTTGGCCCCGGCAGTCAAGGCTGCAGTGAGCCATGATTCTGCTACTACATACCTGTAATCTCAGCATTTTGGGAGACCAAGGCGGGCAGATTACTTGAGGTCAGGAGTTTGAGACCAGCCTGGCCAAGATGGTGAAACCCCATCTCTACTAAAAATACAAAACTTCGCTGGGTGTGGTGGCACGCATCTGTAATCACAGCTACTCAGGAGGCTGAGGCAGGAGACTCGCTTGAACCCGGGAGGCAGAGATTGCAACGAGCAGAGATTGCGCCCCTTCACTCCGGTCTAGACGGCAGAGCGAGACTCCATCTCCAAAAATTAAAATAAAATAAGAACTGAGCCAGCTTCAGTATCTAACATTGTGATTGACACTGTCGCCTCCTGGAGGCCAATCTGAGAATCAGCGGGATTCTCCTTGAGTCTTTGGGGTTCTGAAGAC